CCAGTCCCGCTCAACCTGCCTCAGATAGCTCCTTTGTCCCACCCCCCCACACACGTGGAGTCCGGCTCAATCGGTGCCTCCAGTGATGCTATCTCTTTCATCGTTACCCAACGCTTAGGTGTACCTCCACTGTACTCATATCCTTCCATATCCTTGTCTGTACATAATGCCCTGAATCTATTCTACAACGCCCGGAAATCTATCCCCTTTTATTCTCTGTACCCAACGCACTAGAAGACCAGTTCTTAAAGCCTTTAGCCATATCCTTATTCTATTCCACCTCTGTTCCTCTGGTGATGTAGAGGTTAACCCAGGCCCTGTAGCCCCCAGTATCACTCCTACTCCCCAGGCACTATCATTTGTTGACTTCTTGTTATGATGAGTTTTTGGTATGAATAAGTGCAGGATGTTAGAGAAAGCAGCAGACACTCAGATGGAAGTTTGACTCTACATTTATTCAGTACTGGATCACATAATAAGATTAACATGCTTTGCCTCTTATCATGTGACTGACTTCCTTACCACATCTTTCAACTTATATACTGCCCTTCCAACCTACTTTTATCCTCTCTACATACAGCTTATGAGTTGCACATACAGTACATTAATGAATATTGTATCACAAATCATCATATCACTTCTGTAACCGCAAAGGCATGTTAACATCAGAAGCCTCCCCTATTACCAGCCTGTTCAACCTCTCTTTCGTATCATCTGAGATCCCCAGAGATTGGAAAGCTGCCCCGGTCATCCCCCTCTTCAAAGGGGGTGACACTCTAGATCCAAACTGTTAGAGACCTATATCCATCCTGCCCTGCCTTTCGAAAGTATTTGAAAGCCAAGTTAACAAACAGATCACCAACCATTTCGAATCCCACCCTACCTTCTCCGCTATGCAATCTGGTTTCCGAGCTGGTCATTGGTGCACCTCAGCCACGCTCAAGGTCCTAAACGATATTATAACCGCGATCGATAAAAGACAGTACTGCGCAGCCGTCTTCATCGACCTAGCCAAGGCTTTCGACTCTGTCAATCACTGCATTCTTATTGGCAGACTAAATAGCCTTGGTTTCTCAAATGACTGCCTCGCCTGGTTCATCAACTACTTCTCAGATAGAGTTCAATGTATCAAATCGGAGGACCTGTTGTCTGGACCTCTGGCAGTCTCTATGGGGGTGCCACAGGGCTCAATTCTCAGGCCGACTCTATTCTCTGTGTATATCAATGATGTCGCTCTTGCTGCTGGTGACTCAGATCCACCTCTACGCAGACGACACCATTTTGTATACATCTGGCCCTTCATTGGACACTGTGTTAACAAACCTCCAAACAAGCTTCAATGCCATACAACACTCCTTCCATAGCCTCCAACTGCTCTTAAACTCTAGTAAAACTAAATGCATGCTCTTCAATCGAACGCTGCTGTCACCTGCCCACCCGACTAGAATCATTACTCTCGGCGGATCTGACTTAGAATATGTGGACAACTACAAATACCTAGGTGTCTGGTTAGACCGTAAACTCTCCTTCCAGACTCACATTAAGCATCTCCAATCCAAAGTTAAATCTAGAATCGGCTTCCTATTTCGCAACAAAAGCCTCCTTCACTCATGCTGCCAAATATGCCCTCGTAAAACTGACTATCCTACCGATCCTTGACTTCGCCGATGTCATTTACAAAATAGCCTCCAACACTCTACTCAGCAAATTGGATGTAGTCTATCACAGTGCCATCCGTTTTGTCACCAAAGCCCCATATACTACCCACCATTGTGACCTGTACGCTCTTGTTGGCTGGCCCTCACTACATATTCGTCGCCAAACCCACTGGCTCCAGGTCATCTATAAATCACTGCTAGGCAAATCCCTGCCTTATCTTAGCTCATTGGTCACCATAGCAACACCCACCCGTAGTATGCGCTCCAGCAGGTATATCTCACTGGTCATCCCCAAAGCCAACACCTCCTTTGGCCGCCATTCCTTCCAGTTCTCTGCTGCCAATGACTGGAACGAACTGCAAAAATCTCTGAAGCTGGAGACTCTTAGTCCCTCACTAACTTTAAGCATCAGTTGTCAGAGCAGCTTACCGATCACTGCACCTGTACACAGCCCATCTGTAATTAGCCCACCCAACTACCTCATCCCCATATTGTTATTTATTTTGCTCATTTGCACAAAATCATTTCATTTGCAGATTGTTGCACAAAAGGAATGAGACTCACTTTACTGGTAGGCTAGGACTCACCCCAACGACAATGGAACCAGAAACAAGATCAAACTCGAGTTCCACATTATACAAAGGAACTTCCATGCAACCCATCTCCTCACCTTGTACTAACACACTGTAACCAGTTGCTGAAGTGTCAGACAAAGGCTAAACACCTGAAGGGCTGGGATGCCCCAGTGTCTCCCAGTATCTAAACACCTGAAGGACTGGGATGCCCCAGTGTCTCCCAGTATCTAAACACCTGAAGGACCGGGCTGCCCCAGTGTCTCCCAGTATCTAAACACCTGAAGGACTGGGATGCCCCAGTGTCTCCCAGTATCTAAACACCTGAAGGGTTGGGCTGCCCCAGTGTCTCCCAGTATCTAAACACCTGAAGGACTGGGATGCCCCAGTGTCTCCCAGTATCTAAACACCTGAAGGGCTGGGATGCCCCAGTGTCTCCCAGTATCTAAACACCTGAAGGGCTGGGCTGCCCCAGTGTCTCCCAGTATCTAAACACCTGAAGGGCTGCCCCAGCGTCTCCCAGTATCTAAACACCTGAAGGACTGGGAGGGATGCACCAGTGTCTCCCAGTATCTAAACACCTGAAGGACTGGGATGCCCCAGTGTCTCCCAGTATCTAAACACCTGAAGGGCTGGGCTGCCCCAGCGTCTCCCAGTATCTAAACACCTGAAGTGCTGGGATGCCCCAGTGTCTCCCAGTATCTAAACACCTGAAGGGCTGGGCTGCCCCAGTGTCTCCCAGTATCTAAACACCTGAAGGGCTGGGATGCCCCAGTGTCTCCCAGTATCTAAACACCTGAAGGACTGGGATGCCCCAGTGTCTCCCAGTATCTAAACACCTGAAGGGCTGGGCTGCCCCAGCGTCTCCCAGTATCTAAACACCTGAAGGGCTGGGCTGCCCCAGTGTCTCCCAGTATCTAAACACCTGAAGGGCTGGGCTGCCCCAGTGTCTCCCAGTATCTAAACACCTGAATGACTGGGATGCCCCAGTGTCTCCCAGTATCTAAACACCTGAAGCGCTGGGATGCCCCAGCGTCTCCCAGTATCTAAACACCTGAAGGGCTGGGATGCCCCAGTGTCTCCCAGTATCTAAACACCTGAAGGGCTGGGCTGCCCCAGTGTCTCCCAGTATCTAAACACCTGAATGACTGGGATGCCCCAGTGTCTCCCAGTATCTAAACACCTGAAGGGCTGCCCCAGTGTCTCCCAGTATCTAAACACCTGAAGGGCTGGGATGCCCCAGTGTCTCCCAGTATCTAAACACCTGAAGGACTGGGATGCCCCAGTGTCTCCCAGTATCTAAACACCTGAAGGGCTGGGATGCCCCAGTGTCTCCCAGTATCTAAACACCTGAAGGGCTGGGCTGCCCCAGTGTCTCCCAGTATCTAAACACCTGAAGGACTGGGATGCCCCAGTGTCTCCCAGTATCTAAACACCTGAAGGGCTGGGATGCCCCAGTGTCTCCCAGTATCTAAACACCTGAAGCGCTGGGATGGCCCAGTGTCTCCCAGTATCTAAACACCTGAAGGGCTGCCCCAGCGTCTCCCAGTATCTAAACACCTGAATGACTGGGATGCCCCAGTGTCTCCCAGTATCTAAACACCTGAAGGGCTGCCCCAGTGTCTCCCAGTATCTAAACACCTGAAGGGCTGGGATGCCCCAGTGTCTCCCAGTATCTAAACACCTGAAGGGCTGCCCCAGTGTCTCCCAGTATCTAAACACCTGAAGGGCTGGGCTGCCCCAGCGTCTCCCAGTATCTAAACACCTGAAGCGCTGGGATGCCCCAGCGTCTCCCAGTATCTAAACAGCTGAAGGGCTGGGATGCCCCAGTGTCTCCCAGTATCTAAACACCTGAAGGACTGCCCCAGTGTCTCCCAGTATCTAAACACCTGAAGGGCTGCCCCAGTGTCTCCCAGTATCTAAACACCTGAAGGGATGCCCCAGTGTCTCCCAGTATCTAAACACCTGAAGGGATGCCCCAGTGTCTCCCAGTATCTAAACACCTGAAGGGCTGGGATGCCCTAGTGTCTCCCAGTATCTAAACACCTGAAGGGATGCCCCAGTGTCTCCCAGTATCTAAACACCTAAAGGGCTGGGATGCCCCAGTGTCTCCCAGTATCTAAACACCTGAAGGACTGGGATGCCCCAGTGGCTCCCAGTATCTAAACACCTAAAGGGCTGGGATGCCCCAGTGTCTCCCAGTATCTCCACCGGCTGCTTCACAGCATCACCCCTCTGCAGAGACACCAACCCGTCTGAAACAAAGCTAACCCTAACCCTAACCCACCAACCCGTCTGAAACAAAGCTAACCCTAACCCTAACCCTAACCCTAACCCTAACCCACCAACCCGTCTGAAACAAAGCTAACCCTAACCCTAACCCTAACCCTAACCCTAACCCTAACCCACCAACCCGTCTGAAACAAAGGGTTCATACATCTGATCCAACATGTTGTTTAGTAGATACACCAGACTAGATGGGATACACCAGACTAGATGGGATACACCAGTCCCAACCAGAGACTAGATGGGATACACCAGACTAGATGGGATACACCAGACTAGATGGGATACACCAGACTAGATGGGATACACCAGACTAGATGGGATACACCAGACTAGATGGGATACACCAGACTAGATGGGATACACCAGACTAGATGGGATACACCAGACTAGATGGGATACACCAGACTAGATGGGATACACCAGACTAGATGGGATACACCAGACTAGATGGGATACACCAGACTAGATGGGATACACCAGACTAGATGGGATACACCAGACTAGATGGGATACACCAGACTAGATGGGATACACCAGTCCCAACCAGAGACTTGATGGGATACACCAGTCCCAACCAGAGACTAGATGGGATACACCAGTCCCAACCAGAGACTTGATGGGATACACCAGTCCCAACCAGAGACTTGATGGGATACACCAGTCCCAACCAGAGACTTGATGGGATGCACCAGTCCCAACCAGAGACTTGATGGGATACACCAGTCCCAACCAGAGACTTGATGGGATACACCAGTCCCAACCAGAGACTAGATGGGATACACCAGTCCCAACCAGAGACTAGATGGGATACACCAGTCCCAACCAGAGACTTGATGGGATACACCAGTCCCAACCAGAGACTTGATGGGATACACCAGTCCCAACCAGAGACTTGATGGGATACACCAGTCCCAACCAGAGACTTGATGGGATACACCAGTCCCAAACAGAGACTTGATGGTGTCATTAGTGTGAGTGGGTTTTGCTCCTCCTGTGTTGTTTTGGAGGGTTTTCCTTGTATTTCTTTACTACTCAGTAAAGTGGTTCTGCATCTCATTCTGTGGCCTGTGCTTGACTCTGGCCTACTGCATTCCACAGACATTCATGACAGTGAAGGCAATTCTTGAACTGCTCAAGAAGTCTGAGTGTCTTTAAATCCTCAAGGTCCTTGATCTCTTGAGAACCATACCACCGATCAAAATAAATGCTTGTTCCCTTGCGAACTCAACATGGCTCTGTGATTCTGTCTTTCGTAATTTATGGAACTGTTGTCTGTATGCGTCTGGGACCAACTCGTAAACCCAAAGGATAGCAGCTTTAACAGTGTCATAATCTGAACTCTGGTCGAGATAAAGCGGTGTACACTTTCTGAGCTTTAACAGTGTCATAATCTGAACTCTGGTCAAGAGAAAGCGGTGTACACTTTCTGAGCTTTAACAGTGTCATAATCTGAACTCTGGTCAAGAGATAAAGCGGTGTCCACTTTCTGAGCTTTAACAGTATCATAATCTGAACTCTGGTCGAGAGATAAAGCGGTGTCCACTTTCTGAGCTTTTCCCACAAGAACACTTTGGAGCAGAGACCAAATCTCTCGCTGACATTTTAGGGATGTTGCAATCCGCTCAGAGTAAAATATAGATTTTTTTACATTTTTAGTAGATGCTCTTATCCAGAGTGACTTACAGTTAGTGAGTGCATACATTATTTAATTTTTTTATACTGGGCCCCCGTGGGAATCGAACCCACAACCCTGGCGTTGCAAGCGCCATGCTCTACCAACTGAGCTACACGGGGCTACATCCACCTCCTTTTCACTGAAAGGCGGAGCAAGCAGGCTGTTCTGACCAAGATCACACTCTGTTGAGGGTGCAGGCTGTTCTGACCAAGATCACACTCTGTTGAGGGTGCAGGCTGTTCTGACCAAGATCACACTCTGTTGAGGGTGCAGGCTGTTCTGACCAAGATCACACTCTGTTGAGGGTGCAGGCTGTTCTGACCAAGATCAAACTCTGTTGAGGGTGCAGGCTGGTCTGACCAAGATCACACTCTGTTGAGGGTGCAGGCTGTTCTGACCAAGATCACACTCTGTTGAGGGTGCAGGCTGTTCTGACCAAGATCAAACTCTGTTGAGGGTGCAGGCTGTTCTGACCAAGATCACACTCTGTTGAGGGTGCAGGCTGTTCTGACCAAGATCACACTCTGTTGAGGGTGCAGGCTGTTCTGACCAAGATCACACTCTGTTGAGGGTGCAGGCTGTTCTGACCAAGATCAAAATCTGTTGAGGGTGCAGGATGGTCTAACTTGATTCTGAGTACTTCCAGATCTATCGTGTTCCTCTACCACCCGTAGGAACCTTTTCATCATCCTCCCTCTCTGGAAGGATTTCCTCCTCCACCAAAGCAGTATAGACTAACTCTTTGGCTACTGCTTTTGAATTGGCATGTGCAACTTTGATGTCATAATGCTTTGTAATGATGAGCAGATTCACCTTCATACAGTTATCCAGCATCTCCCATGGAGGGTTTTCCACAAATCATTCCAACTTAAAGTCCATGCCTTTTTATTAGCATGGGTATTTATACAACTTTCACCAATCTTATAACTCCTCTGAGTGGATGTCAGTGACAGAATCTCTACCACAAAAGTGTCTTTTGAACAGATCAGATAAAGGATTTTTTTTTTTTTTTTTATCAAATAGGGAGAGCCAACTAAAGGTGTGAATCCTCCACATCTCTCAAGCCAACTGGAGCACTGGGCCAGACACTCTTAAATATCACAAGTGAAACACCTGACTAACGAGGTGACAAGCCAGCACAGGTGTAACACATACTGACTAACGAGGTGACAAGCCAGCACAGGAGTAACACATACTGACTAACGAGGTGACAAGCCAGCACAGGTGAAACACATACTGACTAACGACATGACAAGCCAGCACAGGTGAAACACATACTGACTAACGAGGTGACAAGCCAGCACAGGTGAAACACATACTGACTAACGAGGTGACAAGCCAGCACAGGTGAAACACATACTGACTAACGAGGTGACAAGCCAGCACAGGTGTAACACATACTGACTAACGAGGTGACAAGCCAGCAGAGGTGAAACACATACTGACTAACGACATGACAAGCCAGCACAGGTGAAACACATACTGACTAACGAGGTGACAAGCCAGCACAGGTGAAACACATACTGACTAACGAGGTGACAAGCCAGCACAGGAGTAACACATACTGACTAACGACATGACAAGCCAGCACAGGAGTAACACATACTGACTAACGAGGTGACACCAATCGGTGTGCCCAACGTACTGACATCCAACCTCGAAATATAAATGGAAAAAAACAAGGCCTGTAACATACATTAATGTGGACCTGCTAACCTCTCACAATTACCAATAAGACGGGAGGTTAGCATGTCTTGGCGGTATGATCTTTGACCCTCTGTAAATTCCTCACTCATCATTATTCATGATTCATTCAGGATTATCCGTAATCATGGTAGCATCCACGTTAATGTTATTCCTTGTTTAAAAAATATATATATATTTCTCTGAGCAATTCTATTAGTATAAAATAATATAATTTCCCAATTCTTTGAGCATACAACATAGCTCAGTATTTGAATTATTTATTTTATACAGTCATTTTTGCTAATCTGTATCAAGGGTGTCAATCATTTCAGACCCCACTGTATATTAATGTAGTGATGTTACCTAGTGTAATATATTAATGTAGTGATGTTACCTAGTGTAATATATTAATGTAGTGATGTTACCTAGTGTAATATATTAATGTAGTGATGTTACCTAGTGTAATATATTAATGTAGTGATGTTACCTAGTGGAATATATTAATGTAGTAATGTTACCTAGTGTAATATATTTATGTAGTGATGTTACCTAGTGGAATATATTAATGTAGTGATGTTACCTAGTGGAATATATTAATGTAGTGATGTTACCTAGTGGAATATATTAATGTAGTTAGGTTACCTAGTGGAATATATTAATGTAGTGATGTTACCTAGTGGAATATATTAATGTAGTTAGGTTACCTAGTGGAATATATTAATGTAGTGATGTTACCTAGTGTAATATATTAATGTAGTGAGTTTACCTAGTGGAATATATTAATGTAGTGATGTTACCTAGTGGAATATATTAATGTAGTTAGGTTACCTAGTGGAATATATTAATGTAGTGATGTTACCTAGTGGAATATATTAATGTAGTTAGGTTACCTAGTGGAATATATTAATGTAGTGATGTTACCTAGTGGAATATATTAATGTAGTGATGTTACCTAGTGGAATATATTAATGTAGTGATGTTACCTAGTGGAATATATTAATGTAGTGATGTTACCTTGTGGAATATATTAATGTAGTGATGTTACCTAGTGGAATATATTAATGTAGTGATGTTACCTAGTGGAATATATTAATGTAGTGATGTTACCTAGTGGAATATATTAATGTAGTGATGTTACCTAGTGGAATATATTAATGTAGTGATGTTACCTAGTGGAATATATTAATGTAGTGACGTTACCTAGTGGAATATATTAATGTAGTGATGTTACCTAGTGGAATATATTAATGTAGTGATGTTACCTAGTGGAATATATTAATGTAGTGATGTTACCTAGTGGAATATATTAATGTAGTGAGTTTACCTAGTGGAATATATTAATGTAGTGATGTTACCTAGTGGAATATATTTATGTAGTGATGTTACCTAGTGGAATATATTAATGTAGTGATGTTACCTAGTGTAATATATTAATGTAGTGAGGTTACCTGGTGGAATATATTAATGTAGTGATGTTACCTAGTGGAATATATTAATGTAGTTAGGTTACCTAGTGGAATATATTAATGTAGTGATGTTACCTAGTGTAATATATTAATGTAGTTAGGTTACCTAGTGGAATATATTAATGTAGTGATGTTACCTAGTGGAATATGTTAATGTAGTGATGTTACCTAGTGGAATATATTAATGTAGTGATGTTACCTAGTGGAATATATTAATGTAGTGATGTTACCTAGTGTAATATATTAATGTAGTGATGTTACCTAGTGGAATATATTAATGTAGTGATGTTACCTAGTGGAATATATTAATGTAGTGATGTTACCTAGTTGAATATATTAATGTAGTGATGTTACCTTGTGGAATATATTAATGTAGTGATGTTACCTAGTGGAATATATTAATGTAGTGATGTTACCTAGTGGAATATATTAATGTAGTGATGTTACCTAGTGGAATATATTAATGTAGTGATGTTACCTAGTGGAATATATTAATGTAGTGAGTTTACCTAGTGGAATATATTAATGTAGTGATGTTACCTAGTGGAATATATTTATGTAGTGATGTTACCTAGTGGAATATATTAATGTAGTGAGTTTACCTAGTGGAATACATTAATGTAGTGATGTTACCTAGTGGAATATATTAATGTAGTGATGTTACCCAGTGGAATATATTAATGTAGTGAGTTTACCTAGTGGAATATATTAATGTAGTGATGTTACCTAGTGGAATATATTAATGTAGTGATGTTACCTAGTGGAATATATTAATGTAGTGATGTTACCTAGTGGAATATATTAATGTAGTGATGTTACCTAGTGGAATATATTAATGTAGTGATGTTACCTAGTGGAATATATTAATATTTGTATTTATTATGGATCCCAAGGCAGCAGCTACTCTTCCTGGGGTCCAGCAAAATTAAGGAAGTTATACATTTTAAAAACATTACAATACATTCATAACAGATTTCACAACACACTAAGTGTGTGCCCTCAGGCCTCTACTCTACTACCACATATCTATAACACAAAATCCACATGTACAGTGGGGAAAAAAAGTATTTAGTCAGCCACCAATTGTGCAAGTTCTCCCACTTAAAAAGATGAGAGAGGCCTGTAATATTCATCATAGGTACACGTCAACTATGACAGACAAATTTAGAAAAAAAAATCCAGAAAATCACATTGTAGGATTTTTAATGAATTTATTTGCAAATTATGGTGGAAAATAAGTATTTGGTCAATAACAAAAGTTTCTCAATACTTTGTTATATACCCTTTGTTGGCAATGACACAGGTCAAACGTTTTCTGTAAGTCTTCACAAGGTTTTCACACACTGTTGCTGGTATTTTGGCCCATTCCTCCACGCAGATCTCCTCTAGAGCAGTGATGTTTTGGGGCTGTCGCTGGGCAACACAGACTTTCAACTCCCTCCAAAGATTTTCTATGGGGTTGAGATCTGGAGACTGGCTAGGCCACTCCAGGACCTTGAAATGCTTCTTACGAAGCCACTCCTTCGTTGCCCGGGCGGTGTGTTTGGGATCATTGTCATGCTGAAAGACCCAGCCACGTTTCATCTTCAATGCCCTTGCTGATGGAAGGAGGTTTTCACTCAAAATCTCACGATACATGGCCCCATTCATTCTTTCCTTTACACGGATCAGTCATCCTGGTCCCTTTGCAGAAAAACAGCCCCAAAGCATGATGTTTCCACCCCCATGCTTCACAGTAGGTATGGTGTTCTTTGGATGCAACTCAGCATTTTTTGTCCTCCAAACACGACGAGTTGAGTTTTTACCAAAAAGTTCTATTTTGGTTTCATCTGACCATATGACATTTTCCCAATCCTCTTCTGGATGCACTCTAGCAAACTTCAGACGGGCCTGGACATGTACTGGCTTAAGCAGGGGGACACGTCTAGCACTGCAGGATTTGAGTCCCTGGCGGCGTAGTGTGTTACTGATGGTAGGCTTTGTTACTTTGGTCCCAGCTCTCTGCAGGTCATTCACTAGGTCCCCTCGTGTGGTTCTGGGATTTTTGCTCACCGTTCTTGTGATCATTTTGACCCCACGGGGTGAGATCTTGCATGGAGCCCCAGATCGAGGGAGATTATCAGTGGTCTTGTATGTCTTCCATTTCCTAATAATTGCTCCCACAGTTGATGTCTTCAAACCAAGCTGCTTACCTATTGCAGATTCAGTCTTCCCAGCCTGGTGCAGGTCTACAATTTTGTTTCTGGTGTCCTTTGACAGCTCTTTGGTCTTGGCCATAGTGGAGTTTGGAGTGTGACTGTTTGAGGTTGTGGACAGGTGTCTTTTATACTGATAACAAGTTCAAACAGGTGCCATTAATACAGGTAACGAGTGGAGGACAGAGGAGCCTCTTAAATAAGAAGTTACAGGTCTGTGAGAGCCAGAAATCTTGCTTGTTTGTAGGTGACCAAATACTTATTTTCCACCATAATTTGCAAATAAATTCATTAAAAATCCTACAATGTGATTTTCTGGATTTTTTTTTCTCAATTTGTCTGTCATAGTTGACGTGTACCTATGATGAAAATTACAGGCCTCTCTCATCTTTTTAAGTGGGAGAACTTGCACAACTGGTGGCTGACTAAATACTTTTTTTCCCCACTGTACATGTGCGTATAGTGCGTATGTCATCGTGTGTTTGTATGCATGTGTCTATGTTTGTGTTGCTTCACAGTCCCCGCTGATTTTACTGCTGGCATGAGTTACTTGATGTGGAATAGAGTTCCATGTAGTCATGGCTCTATGTAGTACTGTGTGCCTCCCATAGTCTGTTCTGGACTTGGGGATTGTGAAGAGACCTCTGGTGGCATGTCTCCTGAGTGGCGCAGTGGTCTAAGGCACTGCATCGCAGTGCTAACTGTGCCACTAGAGATCCTGGTTCGAATCCAGGCTCTGTCGCAGCCGGCCGCGACCGGGAGACTCATGGGTGGCGCACAATTGGCCCAGCGTCGTCCAGGGTATGGGAGGGAATGGCCGGCAGGGATGTAGCTCAGTTGATAGAGCATGGTGTTTGCAACGCCAGGGTTGTGGGTTCGATTCCCACGGGGGGCCAGTATAAAAAAATATGTATTCACTAACTGTAAGTCGCTCTGGATAAGAGCGTCTGCTAAATGACTAAAATGTAAATGTAAATGTTGTGGGGTATGCATGGCTGTCCGAGCTGTGTGCCAGTAGTTCAAACAGACAGCTCGGTGCATTCAACATGTCAATACCTCTCACAAATACAAGTAGTGATGAAGTCAATCTCTCCTCCACTTTGAGCCAAGAGAGATTGACATGCCAATTATTAATGTTAGCTCTCTGTGTACATCCAAGGGCCAGCCGTGCTGCCCTGTTCTGAGCCAATTGCAATTTTCCTAAGTCCCTCTTTGTGGCACCTGACCACACGACTGAACAGTAGTCCAGGTGCGACAAAACTAGGGCCTGTAGGACCTGCCTTGTTGATAGTGCTGTTAAGAATGCAGAATAGCGCTTTATTATGGACAGACTTCTCCCCATCTTAGCTACTGTTGTATCAATATGTTTTGACCATGACAGTTTACAATCCAGGGTTACTCCAAGCAGTTTAGTCTCCTCAACTTGCTCAATTTCCACATTATTCATTACAAGATCTAGTTGAGGTTTAGGGTTTAGTGAATGATTTGTCCCAAACACAATGCTTTTAGTTTTTGAAATATTTAGGACTAACTTATTCCTTGCCACCCATTCTGAAACTAACTGCAGCTCTTTGTTAAGTGTTGCAGTCATTTCAGTCGCTGTAGTAGCTGACGTGTATAGTGTTGAGTCATCTGCAAACATAGACACATTGCCTTTACTCAAAGAAAGTGGCATGTCGTTAGTAAAGATTGAGAAAAGTAAGGGGCCTAGACAGCTGTCCTGGGGAATTCCTGATTCTACCTGGATTTTGTTGGAGAGGCTTCCATTAAAGAACACCCTCTGTGTTCTGTTAGACAGGTAAACTCTTTATCCACAATATAGCAGGGGGTGTAAAGCCATAACACATACGTTTTTCCAGCAACAGACTATGATCTATAATGTCAAAAGCCGCGCTGAAGTCTAACAAAACAGCTCCCACAATCTTTTTACCATCAATTTCTCTCAGCCAATCATCAGTCATTTGTGTAAGTACTGTGCTTGTTGAATGTCCTCCCCTATAAGCATGCTGAAAGTCTGTTGTCAATGTGTTCACTGTAAAATAGCATTGTATCTGGTCAAACACCATTTTTTCCAAAAGTTTACAAAGGGTTGGTAACAGGCTGATTGGTCGGCTATTTGAGCCAGTAAAGGGGGCTTTACTATTCTTAGGTAGGGGAATGACTTTTGCTTCCCTCCAGGCCTGAGGGGGCACACTTTCTAGTAGGCTTAAATTGAAGATATGGCAAATAGGAGTGGCAACATCATCCGCTATTATCCTCAGTAATTTTCCATCCAAGTTGTCAGACTTGTATTGTTGTCTATCAACAATGACAAGCCACCGGGGTGGTGGCTTGTCATTGTTGATAGACAACAATACTTGTTTCACCTCTTCCACACTCACTTTACGGAATCCAAAATTACAATGCTTGTCTTTCATAATTTGGTCAGATATACTTGGATGTGTAGTGTCAGCGTTTGTTGCTGGCATGTTATGCTTAAATTTGGTAATCTTGCCAATGAAGAAATCATTAAAGTAGTTGGCAATATCAGTGGGTGTTGTGGTGAATGAGCCATCTGATTCAATATATGATGGAGTGGAGTTTGCCTTTTTGCCCAAAATTTAATTTAAGGTGCTCCAAAGCTTTTTACTATAATTCTTTATGTCATTTATCTTTGTTTCATAGTGTAGTTTCTACATGTGTAATTACACTATAACAAGTATTGACGTTCACTGTAACCACTTAGTTACAGTGTAATAACAACATGTAACTGGAAGTAATTGCGGTGTGTAATTACAGAGGTGTAACAATGAATGCTTGTTACCGCGCTTGTTGCAAATGGGCAGGTTTCCACTACATTCACCAACTTAGCGTTTCACTTCTTCTCAGCTGCATACAGTAACAACAATCTCAAAGGTTGTGATCCCTCATGAATGCACTGGGTGTCTGAGAGATTATAGCCTATACTCAATGGGCTCTAATTACTTACCCTTGAATGTGCACTGTTCAAACTATAACTCCACTCAGTGTTGTTGCTAGCACTTGCCCCCAAAATAAAGTGTACCATCTGGGTTAACTTGGTTGAGCTGGTAAAAACAGATCAGTAGGTCAACCTCGCTGACTGGGATCTTATATGGGTGGCATCCCAGATGTGGAAATATACAGTGAGTTTACCTACTGGAATATATTAATGTAGTGAGTTTACCTACTGGAATATATTAATGTAGTGAGTTTACCTAGTGGAATATATTAATGTAGTGATGTTACCTAGTGGGAATATATTAATGTAGTGAGTTTACCTTGCTCCGCCAACAGGGGACCTGCGTCCAGGGTCCATTGCTGCAGGCTCCTCCCCCAGTGAGTGGGAGTCTTTACTCAGTAACTGGAGACGTGAGGCCAGCTCCAGCCCACCACCACCCACGGCAGTCAGTCTGCCCTCCTCAGGGCTACTCTGCCTGGGCCGAGGCTCAGACACCTCCCCCCAAAGTTTGGATCTCCTCTGTAACACACAACAATCAACATACCAATAATAACAAATACCAACAACAACTGGAAAGAAAGATCAAAGTCATGTGACTGAAATCTATGAACAGTGAAAATGTGCCATTTGTAGTAGTAGCAGTGCACCATATTAAAGGAGTATGCTACTGGATAATATAGTAGGAAATGGGGTTAGGACATAAAGACACTAGTGCCCATCTCCTATCCATACACTGGCCTCTTCTGTGACAGCATGGGCAGCGCCTTTGAGGGCTCTCTCCATTTCAAGGTAGTCAATTTCTTCTTCTACTTCTAGGAGAGTATTGGCAGTTCATAAACAAACTGAACAGTTGCATACCACCTACTGTGCTGGAGTGGTATAAAGCCAAGGTTGGTGATTTACTGCCCCCTGGAGGGTGTAATCTGAACAGGTATAAAGCCAAGGTTGGTGATTTACTGCCCCCTGGAGGGTGTTGTCTGAACAGGTATAAAGCCAAGGTTGGTGATTTACTGCCCCCTGGAGGGTGTTGTCTGAACAGGTATAAAGCCAAGGTTGGTGATTTTACTGCCACCTGCAGTTAAGGAATGTTTTCTCAGCAGTATAATTCATTGGCTGACCCCTCCTGCTGACTTAGATGGAATTCTGTGATCTGTCCTTAATCCATAGCCCCACCCAGTTGACTACCATTGTTGGGCCGTGGGTGTGAAAGATTCAGCAGGCTACTGGCATTACACACCTGGCTAAAATATTACTGTAGCTCTGTTGTAATAACTTTCATAGATAACTTTGACACCTTCTGGAAACAGAAGATGCTCCACAGGAATGACGGAGTCCATCCAAACCATCTTGGCTCCTGGACTCTGTACACGCATTTCAAAGCTGCATTGAGACAATGACTTATCAATGACCCAAGCCCAGCTCAGATAATCCCTACCATTGTGTTGCTGAGTTGTCGTAATGCTGCAGCAAATGTACATTATCCTAGGGGCGTTGGAAGACACAATGTAAGTAACCTAATTGATGTCCCTCTAACTGCCCTGAATGCCTCTGCTGATCCTACAGCTATTGTATGCAGTAATCATATGACTATTAACCAGTTATACTGTTAGCACTGAGGTGGTGTGCCCTAGTAGGAAGTCCACTGTGTGCAGCTCACCCTGCACTAACATAAATCATCTGAGTATGTCTACCTCTGCTAAGCTTCCCAGTAAAGCAAGAAAAACAATCAAGCATCCCAGAAAAGTGCTATAAATAGCCACATTAACATATGTAGCCTAAGAAACAAGGTTCATGAAATCAATAACTTGCTAGTAACAGATTACATTAATATTCTAACTATCTCTGAAACTCACTTAGATAATACCTCTGATGATACAGTGGTAGCAGTACATGGTTATAACATCTACAGAAAAGAAGGAAATGCCAATGGGGGCAGTGTTGCTGTCTACATTCAGAGCCAAATTCCTGTAAAGCTTAGAGAGGATCTCTTGTTAAATACTGTTGAAGTAATATGGCTACAGGTTCACCTGCCTCACCTAAAGCCCATTCTGGTGGGAAGCTGCTATAGACCACCAAGTGCTAACAGTCAGTATCTGGATAACGTGTGAAATGCTTGATAATGTATGTGATATCAATAGAGCTGTATATTGTCTGGGTGACCTAAATATTGACTGGCTTTCCTCAAGCTGCCCACTCAAGAAAAAGGTTCAAACTGTAACCAGTGCCTGCAACCTGGTTCAGATTATCAGTCAACCTACCAGGGTATTTACAACCTGAACAGGAATGAAATCATCAACATGTATTGATCACATCTTTACTAATGCTGCAGAAATGTGCTTGAAAGCAGTATCCAGATCCATTGGATGTAGTGATCACAATACAGTAGCCATATCCAGGAAAACCAAAGTTCCAAAGGCTGGGCCTAATATAGTTTATAAGAGGTCATACAATACGTTTTGTAGTGATTCCTATGTTTATTTATGTAAAGAATATTTGTTGGTCCGTGGTGTGTAATGAGGAGCAAACAGACGCTGCACTTGACACATTTATGAAATAGCTTATTCAAGTTACTAATAAGCATGCACCCATTAAGAAAATGACTGTAAAAACTTAAATCCCCATGGATTGATGAGGAACTGAAAAAATGTATGGTTGAGAGGGATGAGGCAAAAGGAATGGCAAATAAGTCTGGCTTTACAACCGCTTGGCAAACGTACTGCAAATTGACAAATCATGTGACTAAACTGAATTAAAAGAAGAAGAAACTATACTATGAAACAAAGATAAATGAAAAATAATGTTAGTAAAAAGCTTTGGAGCAACTTAAATTAAATGTTGGGCAAAAAGGCAAACTCGGCTCCTTCATTCATTAATCAGATGGCTCATTCATCACAAAACCCACTGATATTGCCAACTACTTTAATGATTTTTTCATTGGCAAGATTAGAAAACTTAGGCATGACATGCCTGCCACAAATGCAAACACTACACATACAAGTATTTCTGACCAAATTATGAAAGACAAGCATTGTAATTTTGAATTCGGTAAAGTGAGCATGGAAGAGGTGACATTTTTTGTTGTTGTCTATCAACAATGACAAGCCACCTTGCTCTGACAACTTGGATGGGAAATTACTGAGGATAATAGAGGACAATATTGCCACTCCTCAATCTAAGCCTACAAGAAAGCGTGCCCTCAGGCCTGGAGGGAGGCAAGTGTCATTCCGCTACCCAAGAATAGTAAAGCCCCCTTTACTGGCTCAAATAGCCAACTAATCAGCCTGTCACCAACCCGTAGTAAACTTTGGGAAGAAAATGTGTTTGACCAGATACAATGCTATTTTACAGTAAACAAATAGACAAGACTTTTAGCAAGCTTATAGGGAAGGATAATCAACATGCATGGCACTTACACAAATGACTGATGATTGGCTGAGAGAAATTGATGATAAAAAGATTGTGGGAGCTGTTTTGTTAGACTTCAGTGCAGCTTTTGACATTATCAATTACAGTCTGCTGCTGGAAAAACTAATGTGTTCTGGCTTTACACGCCCTGCTATATTGTGGATAAAGAGTTACCTGTCTAACAGAACACAGAGGGTGTTCTTTAATGGAAGCCTCTCCAACATAATCCAGGTAGAATCAGGAATTCCCCAGGACAGCTGTCTAGGCCCCTTACTTTTTTCTAATTTACTAATGACATGCCACTCACTGTCTTTGAGTAGAGCCAGCGTGTCTACGTACAGTGGGGGAAAAAAGTATTTAGTCAGCCACCAATTGTGCAAGTTCTCCCACTTAAAAAGATGAGAGAGGTCTGTAATTTTCATCATAGGTACACGTCAACTTTGACAGACAAAATGAGAAGAAAAAAAATCCAGAAAATCACATTGTAGGATTTTTAATGAATTTATTTGCAAATTATGGTGGAAAATAAGTATTTGGTCAATAACAAAAGTTTCTCAATACTTTGTTATACCCTTTGTTGGCAATGACACAGGTCAAACGTTTTCTCTAAGTCTTCACAAGATTTTCACACACTATTGCTGGTATTTTGGCCCATTCCTCCATGCAGATCTCCTCTAGAGCAGTGATGTTTTGGGGCTGTCGCTGGGCAACACAGACTTTCAACTCCCTCCAAAGATTTTCTATGGGGTTGAGATCTGGAGACTGGCTAGGCCACTCCAGGACCTTGAAATGCTTCTTACGAAGCCAATCCTTCGTTGCCTGGGCGGTGTGTTTGGGATCATTGTCATGCTGAAAGACCCAGCCACGTTTCATCTTCAATGCCCTTGCTGATGGAAGGAGGTTTTCACTCAAAATCTCACAATACATGGCCCCATTCATTCTTTCCTTTACACGGATCAGTCGTCCCTTTGCAGAAAAACAGCCCCAAAGCATGATGTTTCCACCCCCATGCTTCACAGTAGGTATGGTGTTCTTTGGATGCAACTCAGCATTCTTTGTCCTCCAAACACGACGAGTTGAGTTTTCACCAAAAAGTTCTATTTTGGTTTCATCTGACCATATGACATTCTCCCAATCCTCTTCTGGATCATCCAAATGCACTCTAGCAAACTTCAGATGGGCCTGGACATGTACTGGCTTAAGCAGGGGGACACGTCTGGCACTGCAGGATTTGAGTCCCTGGCGGCGTAGTGTGTTACTGATGGTAGGCTTTGTTACTTTGGTCCCATCTCTCTGCAGGTAATTCACTAGGTCCCCCCGTGTGGTTCTGGGATTTTTGCTCACCGTTCTTTTGATCATTTTGACCCCACGGGGTGAGATCTTGCGTGGAGCCCCAGATCGAGGGAGATTATCAGTGGTCTTGTATGTCTTCCATTTCCTAATAATTGCTCCCACAGTTGATTTCATCAAACCAAGCTGCTTACCTATTGCAGATTCAGTCTTCCCAGCCTGGTGCAGGTCTACAATTTTGTTTCTGGTGTCCTTTGACAGCTCTTTGGTCTTGGCCATAGTGGAGTTTGGAGTGTGACTGTTTGAGGTTGTGGACAGGTGTCTTTTATACTGATAACAAGTTCAAACAGGTGCCATTAATACAGGTAACGAGTGGAGGACAGAGGAGCCTCTTAAAGAAGAAGTTACAGGTCTGTGAGAGCCAGAAATCTTGCTTGTTTGTAGGTGACCAAATACTTATTTTCCACCATAATTTGCAAATAAATTCATTAAAAATCCTACAATGTGATTTTCTGGAATTTTATTTCTCAATTTGTCTGTCATAGTTGACGTGTACCTATGATGAAAATTACAGGCCTCTCTCATCTTTTTAAGTGGGAGAACTTGCACAACTCGTGGCCGTGTGGTGCCAGGACAACAACCTCTCCCTCAACGTGACCAAGACAAAGGAGATGATTGTGGACTACAGGAAAAAAAAGAGGACTGAGCACGCCCCCATTCTCATCGACGGGGCTGTAGTGGAACAGGTTGAGAGCTTCAAGTTCCTTGGTGTCCACATCACCAACGAACTATCATGGTCCAAACACACCAAGACAGTCGTGAAGAGGGCACGACAAAGCCTATTCCCCCTCAGGAGACTAAAAAGATTTGGCATGGGTCCTCAGATCCTCAAAAAATTCTACAGCTGCACCATCGAGAGCATCCTGACTGGTTGCATCACCGCCTGGTATGGCAACTGCTTGGCCTCTGACCGCAAGGCACTACAGAGGGTAGTGCGTACGGCCCAGTACATCACTGGGGCAAAGCTCCCTGCCATCCAGGACCTCTATACCAGGCGGTGTCAGAGGAAGGCCCTCAAAATTGTCAAAGACTCCAGCCACCCTAGTCATAGACTGTTCTCTCTGCTACCGCACGGCAAGCGGTACCGGAGTGCCAAGTCTAGGTCCAAAAGACTTCTCAACAGCTTCTACCCCCAAGCCATAAGACTCCTGAACAGCTAATCATGGCTACCCGGACTATTTGCACTGCCCCCCCACCCCATCCTTTTTACGCTGCTGCTACTCTGTTAAGTATTTATGCATAGTCACTTTAACTCTACCCACATGTACATATTACCTCAACTACCTCAACTAGCCGGTGCCCCCGCACATTGACTATGCAACGGTACCCCCCTGTATATATAGCCTCCCTACTGTCACTTTATTTTACTGTATATATAGCCTCCCTACTGTCACTTTATTTTACTTCTGCTCTTTTTTTCTCAACACTTTTTTGTTGTTGTTTTATTCTTACTTTTTTGTTTAAAATAAATGCACTGTTGGTTAAGGGCTGTAAGTAAGCATTTCACTGTAATGTCTGCACCTGTTGTATTCGGCGCATGTGACCAATAAAATTTGATTTGATTTGATTTGATTTGACTAAATACTTTTTTCCCCCACTGTACACATGGATTTTGTATTGTAGAAATGTGGTAGTAGAGTAGTGGCCTAAGAGCACACACTTAATAATGTGTTGTGAAAAGTGTTATGAAATGTAATGTCATGTAATATTTTTTATTGTATATAACTGCCATAATGTTGCTGGACCCCAGGAAGAGTAGCTGCTGCCTCTACTGGGGATCCTTAATAAATACAAAATAAAAATACTTAAAAATGGTGGAAGCCCTCAATGCCGCTGCACATATTAAAACAGGCTTTCTGGCACAAGAGCCAGAAAGGTTAGGGTCAGGGTTACCTGGAAGAGGTATCGAGGTGGGTTCGGGTTACTTGGAAGAGGTATCAGGGTGGTTCAGGGTTACCTGGAAGGGGTATCAGGGTGGGTCAGTATTACCTGGAAGAGAGGTATCAGGGTCTGGTCGTCACCATAGTGGCACGTGGCTACTCGTTTCTCCTAACTGGAGATTCTCTTTTCTCCCTCTCTCACCTGTCCATCTCCTCATTTGAATTCCATGCTGTCATTGTCTCTTGTCCACTCAAGCTTAACATTAATTTCATCTATTGCCCACCAGGTGCCCTTGGAGAGTTCCTCAATTAGCTTGACACCTTGATAAGCTCATTTCCTGATGATGGCTCACTGCTCTTCGTACTTGGCAACTTTAACCTCCTGATGTCTGCCTTCGATTAATTTTTTTCCTACTCTCTCTTTTCCCTCCTTGCCACTTTTGACCTCACCCTTTCCCAATCCTCTCCAACTCGCAAGGCAGGCAATACGATTGACCTCATCTTTACTACAGGCTGTGATCACTACTTTGTTTCCATTTCTGTCTCCCTTTCCCCCTACCCAGATGGTCATGCAACGTCGCAATCTTCACTCTCTCTCTCCCACTACTCTCTCCTCTTCTATCCTATCCTATCCTATCATCTCTCCCTTCTGATAAATCCTTCTCCATCCTGTCTCCTAACTCTGTCTCTTCGACCCTACTATCCTCCCTTTCCACATGCTATGACTCACAATTTCCTCTTTCCTCAAGCTGGCTCGGCCCTCCCCTCCTGCTCCGTGGCTGACTGACTGAATGTACAGAACAGGCCTGCAGGCAGCGGAGTGAAAATGGAGGAAAACTAAACATCCTTCCACTCCCTCCTCTCTACCTTCTCTTCCTCTGTATCTGCTGCTAAAGCCATCATTCCACTCCCTCCTCTCTACCTTCTCTTCCTCTGTATCTGCTGCTAAAGCCATCCTTCCACTCCCTCCTCTCTACCTTCTCTTCCTCTGTATCTGCTGCTAAAGCCATCCTTCCACTCCCTCCTCTCTACCTTCTCTTCCTCTGTATCTGCTGCTAAAGCCATCCTTCCACTCCCTCCTCTCTACCTTCTCTTCCTCTGTATCTGCTGCTAAAGCCATCATTCCACTCCCTCCTCTCTACCTTCTCTTCCTCTGTATCTGCTGCTAAAGCCATCCTTCCACTCCCTCCTCTCTACCTTCTCTTCCTCTGTATCTGCTGCTAAAGCCATTTTCTACCATTCTACATTTCAAACGTATGCCTCTAGCCCTAGGAAACTATTTTCCACCTCCTCCCTCCTTAATCTTCTAACCCCTCCCCCTCCCTCCTCCCTCTCTGCGGACAACTTTGTCAACCCCTTTGAAAGAAGGTTGACGACATCTGTTCCTCATTCACTCAGCCTATTGAGTTCTCTGGTCCCACTCACACAGAACTACCCTACGCCATGACCTCTTTCTCCCCTCTCTCTCCAGATGACATCCTGTGACTAGTGACGTCTGGCCGCCCGACAATCTGCCCGTTCAACCCCATCCCTTCCTCCCTTCTCCAGACCATCTCTGGAGACCTTCTCCCATTCATCACTTCCCTCATCCTTGACCACCTTCCCCCCTCTGACTTAAAAATGGCTCTAGTCACTCCCCTCCTAAAGAAACAAACACTTGACTCATCTGACGTCAAAAACGATAGACCTGTATCCCTTCTTTCTTTTCTTTCCAAAACACATGAGCATGCTGTCTCTGATCAACTCTCTCATTATCTCTCTCAGAATGATCATCTTGACCCTAACCAGTCAGGCTTCAAGACGGATCACTCAACCGAGACTGTTCTTTTCTGTGTCTTGGAGGATCTCCGCACTATCAAAGCTGACTCTCTATCCTCCGTTCTCATCCTCTTAGATCTAGTCGCTGCCTTCGACACCGTGAACCATCAGATCCTCCTCTCCACCCCAGGGCTGGGCGTCTCAGGCTCTGCACACTCTTGGATTGCATCCTACCTGGCAGGCCGCTCCTATCAGGTGACGTGGAGAGGATCTGTGTCTGCACCACGTACTCTCACTACTGGTGTCCCCCAGGGCTAGGTTCTATACCCTCTCCTCTTCTCTCTATACACCAAGTCACTCGGCTTCGTCATAACCTCACATGGTCTCTCCTATCATTGCTATGTGAATGACACTCAACTACTTTTTTCCTTCCCTCCTCAGCTTGGATTTCGGTCCACCACCTCAAGCTCAACAAGACAGAGCTGCTATTCCTCCCAGGGAAGGCCTTCCCGCTCAAAGACCTCACCATCACGGGTGACAACGCCACAGTGTCACCCTCCCAGAGTGCAAAGAACCTTGGCGTGACCCTGGACAACACCCTGTCGTTCTCTGCAAACATCAAAGCAGTGACTCACTCCTGCAGATTCAAGCTCTACAACATGCGTAGAGTACGACCCTACCTCACACAGGTCCTAATCCAGGCATTTGTCATCTCCCATCTGGACTACTGCAATTCGCTTTTGGCTGGGCTCCCCGCTTGTGCCATCAAACCCCTGCAACTTATCCAGAATGATGCAGTGGGGTGACATGTTCTCCCAGAATGCTGCAGCGGGGTGACATGTTCTCCCAGAATGCTGCAGCGGGGTGACATGTTCTCCCATGTCACCGCTCCACTGCATACTCCACTGGCTTCCAGTCGAAGCTCGCATCCACTGCAAGACCATGCTGCTTGCCTACGGAGCAGCAAGAGGAACTGCCCCGCCCTATCTCCAGGCTATGCTCCAACCCTACACCCCAACCTGAGCACTCCGTTCTGCCACCTCTGGTCTCTTGGCCCTCCCACCCCTAGGGGAGGGCAGCTCCCACTCAGCCCAGTCCTAGCTATGCTCTGTCCTGGCACCCCAATGGTGGAACCAGCTTCCCCCTGAAGCTAGGACAGCAGAGTCCCTGCCCATCATCCGAAAGCACCTGAAATCCTACTGTGAAATGTGGTTGTTCCACCTAGCTATCTTAAGATTAATGCACTAACTGTAAGTCGCTCTGGATAAGAGCGTCTGCTAAATAACTAAAATGTAAAACATAAATGTCGGGGTCAGTTATCTGGAAGAGGTACCAGGGTGGGTCAGGGTTACCTGGAAGAGGTATCAGGGTGGGTCTGGGTTAGGGTCAGGGTTACCTGGAAGAGGTATGGAGGTGGGCGTCCAGGTCCACAGCCTGATGGAAGCAGCTCGCTGTCTGAAGACTGTTTCAGTAGAGGATCCCTGAGAGCAGAGCGACCACGGCCCAGGGGAGAACGCAGCCTGGGCTTCAGGCTCTGGGGGTCTGAGGTGGAGGAGGGCAGGGTTTTCGGCGTGGCAGGGCAGGGCAGGGTGGGGGGCAGGCTGGGGGCCAGGGTGCTGCTAAGGGATAAGGTGTTCTCTATGTGAGGGTCTCCCTCCTCCACCCCTGAGTCTGGAGCTGACCCCCCCCCTCCCCCTCCCCCGCCCTCGCCCTCGCCTGCCTGGGGTCTCCGTGGTGACAGGCTGAGGGAGGAGGGGGGCTGGGTGGGGGAGGGGGGCGTGGCAAACGCCAGGGGAGGAGACACCAGTCCAATCTTACGAAGCTCCTCCCTCGTCTCCTCGTCACTGGATGACAGCAGTGCAGGGGGCAGAGTCACCGTGTAAGGCCCGCCCTCCAGACTCTTCCTCCTCTCTGATTGGCCCTGGGTCACCATATAAGGTCCGCCCTCCTCCTCTGAGCTGCCAACAGTCAGACTCCTCCTCCTTTGTAATTGTCCATGCAGCGCCTCAATCAGCTCTTCCCCCAGACCCCGTCCTGCCGGCTGGCTGTCATTGGTTATATTGATGGTCACCTGACTGATGGGAGGGAGGGGCATAGCCTGCCAACGCTCGGGGGAGGGCACAGCAGGAGATGTGACTCCGCCTTCTGTCTCTGGCCGCTCTACGACTGGCCGCTCCAGCTGTCCTTCAAGGAATATGGGTGGGGTGATACGTTTGTGTCGGGGCTCAGGGCTGGTCAAGGGAGGAGGGGTGTGTTTGGGCCTGGGCTCAGGGCTAGGTGAGTGTGTGTGTTTGGGTCTGGCTTCGGGACTAGGTGTGTGTGTGTGTTTGGGCCGAGGTTCAGGGCTGGGTGTGCGTGCAGTGAGAGCTCGTTCACGGGCGGCGAGGGCCAGGGCGAGGGGGGAGGAGGGGTCCAGAGGCTTGCCTGTCAGTGGGTGGAGAAAAGTGGAGTGGGGGGAGGAGGAGGGGGAGAGGACGGGGATGGGGGGGGGGCAGCTCCCCCAGGTCATCTACAGAGTGGGACTGGGTCAGTAGGATGGGGGGGGGCTCTGAAGCCCCTCCCTCCACAGACAGGAAGAAGGAGGACCGACGGACCTGAGGGGGCATGACCCGTATCTGAGCACGCTCAGTGAGGACCTGCTGCTGATATAGCTCCGCCCTGCTGGGCCCCTCCTCCACCTGCAGCTGTTTGAGCAGCGGAGACTTGCGGCGCTGAGGCTTGCTGGGGGGGGGCAGGCAGTTGGCCCACGTTGGCATATGGGTTCTCTACTGGCCGGCCACGCCTCCTGTTGCCGCTGCGCTCCCCTGGAGGGTTAGGGCTGGGGGCAGGGCTGGTTCTGGAGAGGGGGCTGGGGCTGGGGGCAGGGCTGGTTCTGGAGAGGGGGCTGGGGCTGGGGGCAGGGCTGGTTCTGGAGAGGGGGCTGGGGGAGGCAGCAGGGCTGGGCCGGGACAGGGGGGCTGTAGCCCCAGCAGGAGGTCGGGCTAGGGGGGCCAGGGGGGCAGGCTCTGCAGGTAGATGGCCTGGTACAGGTGAGTCCTGCAGGATGATCATTGAGCGAGCTTTCCTCTGCCGCTCTGCATGGCTCCGAGACGTTGGCGAATCACAGATGTCGTGCAGCCTGGGTTCTGCCCCCGGCTTGAAGCTGGAGTGTGATTGATCGGCTGCTCGCTGCGGGGGAGGTGGGGGGCAGAAGGCCGGCGGCGGGCCAGAGTCCAGGAAGTAGTGGGAGGGGGGAGGAGGGGGGGCAGTCTGGGGAGGAGGAGGTATGAAGCTATCAGTCATCGAGGAGCTCCGTGGAAACCGATGCTCTCCAATCAGAGCAGAGATCCTGTCGTCCTCTGGTGCACCTGCATGGGAGAGACTGGGATATTATAACCTTAATATAACAAGTCTAAGACTTGGGGGGGGGGGGGGGGGGGGGTTAGGGTTAAATAAATCATAATAAATAAGGTTTTGAAGTGTCCTAGAGGTTAAGAGCATTGAGCCAGTAACCGAGAGGTCGCTGGTTTGAATCCCAGAGCTGGCAAGGTGGAAAAATCTGTAATTCTGCCCATGGAAAAGTTGAATGAAAAAAGTTGAGCGAGGAAAAAACTAAGATGTGTTGAATGCAGAGATTTGATTAAACGGTTATTAAATGTAAAAAACGAAAAGTTTGGCAGGCGACAAAGCCCAGTGGCAACAAACAGCACAGCAGCATGACAACGCAGAAGTGTGACATTTTATGCAACTTGTTAAGCCCATTTTTACTCCTGAACTATATAGGTATCTAACAGGACAGGGGTTATGTATGAAATAGGTAGCTAACAGGACAGGGGTTATGTATGAAATAGGTAGCTAACAGGACAGGGGTTATGTATGAAATAGGTAGCTAACAGGACAGGGGTTATGTATGAAATAGGTATCTAACAGGACAGTGGTTATGTATGAAATAGGTAGCTAACAGGACAGGGGTTATGTATGAAATAGGTAGCTAACAGGACAGGGGTTATGTATGAAAGAGCTAACAGGACAGGGGTTATGTATGGAAGAGCTAACAGGACAGGGGTTACTGCCCTGCTAGATATGTGGTGGTTAAACAGTGAAGAGCCCTGCTAGATATGTGGTGGTTAAACAGTGAAGAGCCCTGCTAGATATGTGGTGGTTAAACAGTGAAGAGCCCTGCTAGATATGTGGTGGTTAAACAGTGAAGAGCCCTGCTAGATATGTGGTGGTTAAACAGTGAAGAGCCCTGCTAGATATGTGGTGGTTAAACAGTGAAGAGCCCTGCTAGATATGTGGTGGTTAAACAGTGAAGAGCCCTGCTAGATATGTGGTGGTTAAACAGTGAAGAGCCCTGCTAGATATGTGGTGGTTAAACAGTGAAGAGCCCTGCTAGATATGTGGTGGTTAAACAGTGAAGAGCCCTGCTAGATATGTGGTGGTTAAACAGTGAAGAGCCCTGCTAGATATGTGGTGGTTAAACAGTGAAGAGCCCTGCTAGATATGTGGTGGTTAAACAGTGAAGAGCCCTGCTAGATATGTGGTGGTTAAACAGTGAAGAGCCCTGCTAGATATGTGGTGGTTAAACAGTGAAGAGCCATGCTAGATATGTGCTGCTTCTCTGTCGGCTTATCGGTCAGGCCGTCTGCTTCTCTGTCGGCTTAACGGTCAGGCGCTCTGCTTCTCTGTCGGCTTATCAGTCAGGTGGTCTGCTTCTCTGTCGGCTTATCAGTCAGGTGGTCTGCTTCTCTGTCGGCTTATCAGTCAGGCCTTCTGCTTCTCTGTCGGTTTAACGGTCAGGCCATCTGCTTATTCATTAAGTGATGCTATGTTTGTTTTTCCTGGATTTTAGAGTTTGGGACAATGTGTTGGAATACTTTTTTCCCCCATTGAACGCCTAGGTCCAATAGCCATGGTTCGCCACTGGATTATGGTAATTGCTAGTATTGTGTTAGAGTAATGTAATTGTCTCACCGAAGGACTTGGTCCGGGACATTCCTCGGGGCAGCTGCATGGTGGCTTTCTCCAGACCCAGGGAAACACCTGGAGGAACAGGCATGCCCTGCCGCTCAAACAAAGACTGACACACACACAGACACACACACACACACACACACACACACACACACACACACACACACACACACACACACACACACACACAGTGAGAGTATGCCTGGGATCACATGCGTTTTAAAGAGACAGCACCTGTCTGAATCAGTAGTGAAACGTGACTGAGTGAATCAGTAGTGAATTGTGACTGAGTGAATCAGTAGTGAATTGTAACTGAGTGAATCAGTAGTATATCGTGAATCAGTAGTAAATCATGATTGAGTGACTCAGTAGTATATCTTGACTGAGTGAATCAGTAGTAAATCGTGACTGAGTGAATCAGTAGTAAATCATGACTGAGTGAATCAGTAGTAAATCATGACTGAGTGAATCAGTAGTAAATCATGACTGAGTGAATCAGTAGTAAATCATGACTGAGTGAATCAGTAGTGAATCGTGACAGAGTGAATTGTGACTGACTGAACCAGTAGTGAATCATGACTAAGTGAATCAGTAATGAATCGTGATTGAGTGAATGGGTAGTGAATCGTGACTCATCAGACTTACATTGATCTCTTGCTGAGTAATTCGTCTGCTGGTTGGCCGCTGCTTCACGGTGGCCGTTCTGTAGTCCGCCTCCGAGGGGCGTTTTCTCATCACCACCTCCTGGGAGCCAGTCAGCATCTCCTCAAGCTTTTCTGAAATGCAACAAAGTACACAGTAGAGCGCTACATAGCACTACACAGTACAACACAGTACAACAGAGTACTACAGAGCGCTACATAGCGCTACACAGCACTACACAGTACTACACAGTACTACACAGCACTACACAGTACAACACAGTACAACACAGTACTACACAGCACTACACAGTACAACAGAGCGCTACACAGCACTACACAGTAATACAACCCAGCACTACACAGTACAACAGAGCGCTACACAGCACTACACAGCACTACACAGCACTACACAGTACAACAGAGCACTACACAGCGCTACACAGCACTACACAGTACAACAGAGCGCTACATAGCACTACATAGCACTACACAGTACAACAGAGCGCTACACAGCACTACACAGTACAACAGAGCGCTACACAGTACTACACAGTACAACAGAGCGCTACACAGTACTACACAGTACAACAGAGCACTACACAGCACTACACAGTACAACAGAGCGCTACATAGCACTACACAGTACTACACAGTACTACACAGTACAACAGAGCGCTACATAGCACTACATAGCACTACACAGTACTACACAGCACTACACAGTACAACAGAGCGCTACATAGCACTACATAGCACTACACAGTACAACACAGTACTACACAGCACTACACAGCACTACACAGTACAACACAAGTACTACACAGTACAACAGAGCGCTACATAGCACTACACAGTACAACACAGTACAACACAGTACTACACAGTACAACAGAGCGCTACATAGCACTACACAGTACAACAGAGCACTACACAGCACTACACAGTACAACACAGTACAACAGAGCGCTACATAGCACTACACAGCACTACACAGTACAACACAGTACTACACAGTACAACAGAGCGCTACATAGCACTACACAGTACAACACAGTACAACACAGTACTACACAGTACAACAGAGCGCTACATAGCACTACACAGCACTACACAGTACAACACAGTACTACACAGTACAACAGAGCGCTACATAGCACTACACAGTACAACACAGTACTACACAGTACTACACAGTACAACAGAGCGCTACATAGCACTACACAGCACTACACAGTACAACACAGTACTACACAGTACAACAGAGCGCTACATAGCACTACACAGTACAACACAGTACTACATAGCACAAAACAGTACAACACAGCACTACACAGTACAACAGAGCGCTACATAGCACTACACAGTACAACACAGTACTACATAGCACAAAACAGTACAACAGAGTACTACACAGTACAACAGAGTGCTACATAGCCCTACACAGTACAGCAGAGCGCTACATAGCACTACACAGCACTACACAGTACAACAGAGCGCTACACAGCACTACACAGCACTACACACTACAACACAGTACTACATAGCACAAAACAGTACAACACAGTACTACATAGTAATACAACCCAGTACTACATAGCACTACACAGTACTACAAAGTACTACACAGCACTACACAGCACTACACACTACAACACAGTACTACATAGCACAAAACAGTACAACACAGTACTACGTAGTAATACAACACAGTACTACATAGCACTACACAGTACTACAAAGTACTACACAGCACTACACAGCACTACACACTACAACACAGTACTACATAACACAAAACAGTACAACACAGTACTACATAGTAATACAACCCAGTACTACATAGCACTACACAGTACTACAAAGTACTACACAGCACTACACACTACAACACAGTACTACATAGCACTACACTGTAAAACACAGTACTACATAGCACTACAACACAGTACAACAGAGTACTAAATACTACATAGCACTACAACACAGTACAACAGAGTACTAAATGGCACTACAACACAGTACAACAGAGTTCTAAATGGCACTACAACACAGTACAACAGAGTACTAAATGGCACTACAACACAGTACTACATAGCACTACACAGTACAAGATAGTACTACACAGAACTGCAACACAGTACTACATAGCACAACACAGTACAGCACAGTACTACATAGCACTACAACACAGTACAACATAGCACTACAACATAACACTACTACATAGCACTACAACACAGTACTACCCAACACAATACTACATAGCACTACAACACAGTACTACATAGCACTACAACACAGTACAACATAACACTACTACATAGCACTACAACACAGTACAACACAGTACTACCCAACACAGTACTACATAGCACTACAACACAGTACTATCCAACACAGAACTCAACACTACACAACCTTATTAAAAAGTGGATCTTATTAAATACAGTGAGGGGAAAAAGTATTTGATCCCCTGCTGATTTTGTACGTTTGCTCACTGACAAAGAAATGGTCAGGCTATAATTTTAATGGTAGGTTAATTTGAACAGTGAGAGACAGAATAACAACATCAACATCCAGAAAAACGCATGTCAAAAATGTTATAAATTGATTTGCATTTTAATGAGGGAAATAAGTATTTGACCCCCTCTCAATCAGAAAGATTTCTGGCTCCCAGGTGTCTTTTATACAGGTAACGAGCTGAGATTAGGAGCACACTCTTAAAGGGAGTGCTCCTAATCTCAGTTTGTTACCTGTATAAAAGACACCTGTCCACAGAAGCAATCAATCAATCAGATTCTCTCCACCATGGCCAAGACCAAAGAGCTCTCCAAGGATGTCAGGGACAAGATTGTAGACCTACACAAGGCTGGAATGGGCTACAAGACCATCGCCAAGCAGCTTGGTGAGAAGGTGACAACATTTTAACATTTTAGTCATTTAGCAGACGCTCTTATCCAGAGCGACTTACAGTTAGTGAGTGCATACATTATTTTGTTTATTTTTCATGCTGGCCCCCCGTGGGAAATGAACCCACAACCCTGGCGTTGCAAACGCCATGCTCTACCAACTGAGCTACATCCCTGCCAGCCATTCCCTCCCCTACCCTGAACGACACAATTGTGCGCCGCCCCATGGGTCTCCCGGTCGCGGCCGGCTACGACAGAGCCTGGATAGCCTGATCATGTCTTTGTCAGTGGGCAAACGTACAAAATCAGCAGGGGATCAAATACTTTTTTCCCTCACTGTATCATATGCAGCACAACAACAGATCACATGATACAATTCCAACACACACTCACCCCCTCGTCTCCTCCTGGCAGAGGCTTACAGGAGAAAGTACAGATCAGGTTACTCACACTGTGTGTGTGTGTGTGTGTTTGTGTGTGTGTGTGTGTGTGTGTGTGTGTGTGTGTGTGTGTGTGTGTGTCTGTGTGTGTCTGTGTGTGTGTGTGTGTGTGTGTGTGTGTGTGTGTGTGTGTCTGTGTGTGTGTGTGTGTGTGTGTGTGTGTGTGTGTGTGTGTGTGTGTGTGTGTGTGTGTGTGTGTGTGTGTGTGTGTGTGTGTGTGTGTGTGTGTGTGTGTGTGTGTGTGTCTCTCTCCTACCTATCTCTTCCAGTTCAGCAGTCATGGATTTGGAGCGCAGTGTGAGCGACGTGCTGGGTGCTCTCTTAGGCGGGGGAGGTGCTGTTGGGGGATGTCAGCCAATCAAATCACTCACAGCATGACAAAAATCCATCCAATCACCTTTATCACAGAAATCCACACAGAAACACACACACACACTTTGTCCCGTACCTTTCTTACGGACTAAGTCCGACTCAGGTTTGCGTGTGACTGAAACCACCTTCATCAGCAGCTGACTTCCTCCCTGACGGATCAACGACACCACCTGTCTGTGACCCACCTTCACCACATCACTACCATTCACCTGACACACACACACACACACACAACCTGTTAATTCACCATTCAACCACTGGCCATTGTATTTATGGAATGTACTTTGCGTCTGTATTTAATTGTGTGTGTGCCATAAACATGTATAGAGGACTCTAGTGCCCAAAAGCCCATTTAGCACGGGCATTCCAATGAGGACTTTCACCATTTTAGCATGGGCATTCCAATGAGGACTTTCACCATTTTGAAGTAGTCAACTGGGTAAATCACCAACCTTGGCTTTATACCAGTTCAGACAATACACAACTAATCTTCTCCTTTCCCCCTTCTGATAACCAGGTGGCGAATCGCATCTCTGCATGTCTGGCAGACATATCAGTATGGATGACGGATCACCACCTCAAGCTGAACCCTGGCAAGACGGAGCTGCTCTTCCTCCCGGGGAAGGACTGCCCGTTCCATGATCTCGCCATCACGGTTGACAACTCCGCTGTGTCCTCCTCCCAGAGTGCGAAGAGCCTAGGCGTGACCCTGGACAACACCCTGTCGTTCTCCGCCAACATCAAGGCGGTGACCCGCTCCTGCAGGTTCATGCTCTACAACATTCGGAGAGTACGACCCTGCCTTACACAGGAAGCGGCACAGGTCCTGGTCCAGGCGCTTGTCATCTCCCGTCTGGACTACTGCAACTCGCTGTTGGCTGGCCTCCCTGCCTGTGCCATTAAACCCCTACAACTCATCCAGAATGCCGCAGCCCGTCTGGTGTTCAACCTTCCCAAGTTCTCTCACGTCACCCCCCTCCTCCGCACACTCCACTGGCTTCCAGTTGAAGCTTGCATCCGCTACAAGACCATGGTGCTTGCCTATGGAGCAGTGAGGGGAACGGCACCTCTGTACCTTCAGGCTCTGATCAGTCCCTACACCCAAACGAGAGTATTGCGCTCATCCACCTCTGGCCTGCTGGCTCCCCTTCCTCTGCGGAAGCATAGTTCCCGCTCAGCCCAGTCAAAACTGTTCGCTGCTCTGGCACCCCAATGGTGGAACAAGCTCCCTCACGACGCCAGGACAGCGGAGTCACTCACCACCTTCCGGAGACATTTGAAACCCCACCTCTTTAAGGAATACCTGGGATAGGATAAAGGAATCCTTCTACCCCCCCCCCCCCCCCCCCCAATTGTAAAGTGGTTATCCCACTGGCTATAGGGTGAACGCACCAATTTGTGAGTCGCTCTGGCTAAGAGCGTCTGCTAAATGACGTTAATGTGCCCTTGAGCAAGGCACTTAACCCTAATTGCTCCTGTAAGTCGCTCTGGATAAGAGCGTCTGCTAAATGACTAAAATGTATGTAAAATGTAAATGTAAACACCCTCCAGGGGGCAGTAAATCACCAACCTTGGCTTTATACCTGTTCAGACAACACCCTCCAGGGGGCAGTAAATCACCAACCTTGGCTTTATACCAGTTCAGACAACACCCTCCAGGGGGCAGTACGCACCCTATCAGTTTGTTTACCAACATAGAAGTAGTAGAACATGAAAATTGACTACTTCAAAATGGAGATGGTCTCAATGGCACTGTCGTGCACTCACAGACGCCATAACGCAACAGATACAACGTTGTGATCTCTATACATCTCTATGGTGTGTATAATACAACAGATACAACGTTGGGATCTCTATACATCTCTATGGTGTGTGTTTACCTCAATGAGGAAGTCCCCAGTGCGTAGCCCTGCCCTCCAGGCCACGCCCTCCAGGTCAACAGACTCCAGGTACTGCAGCGCTGGGAACGCTGGGGTCGGAGCAAACTCCTCTATAGGGGTCTCCGCTACACACACAACATGGATTATAGATACATTCTCCTAACCCTAACCCTGGGAACGCTGGGGTCGGAGCAAACTCCTCTATAGGGGTCTCCGCTACACACACAACATGGATTATAGATACATTCTCCTAACCCTAACCCTAACCCTGGGAACGCTGGGGTCGGAGCAAACTCCTCTATAGGGGTCTCCGCTACACACACAACATGGATTATAGATACATTCTCCTAACCCTAACCCTGGGAACGCTGGGGTCGGAGCAAACTCCTCTATAGGGGTCTCCGCTACACACACAAAATGGATTATAGATACATTCTCCTAACCCTAACCCTAGATCCATTCTCCTAACCCTAGATCCATTCTCCTAACCCTAACCCTAACCCTAGATACATTCTCCTAACCCTAACCCTAGATCCATTCTCCTAACCCTAACCCTAGATCCATTCTCCTAACCCTAACCCTAGATCCATTCTCCTAACCCTAACCCTAACCCTAGATCCATTCTCCTAACCCTAACCCTAGATCCATTCTCCTAACCCTAGATCCATTCTCCTAACCCTAGATCCATTCTCCTAACCCTAGATCCATTCCAACCCTCTTTACCTTTAGCTCCTCGGAGGACGAAGCCAAATCCTTCACTGTCTCTCTTCTGTAGCACAGAACTCTTCTCCTCGATGACATAATCACTGAGGTCAGAGGGCAAGGATCAGTGATACAATAGAAGCGGACTTACAATACCTGTGTGTGTGTGTGCGTGTGCGTGTGTACACAAGTTACCTGTAGGAAGTGTAGTTGTCATAGGAACCCACGGTGTAATGTCTGAAAAGCCTCTTGGTGCGATCCTCTCGTGTTTCTACATACACCAGCCAACACACACGCACACAAATCACACACACTGCAGTCAAGAGACATGTCCTCATTCTCTGAAACATGTCCCCCTCCATTAGAGGGGGTAGGTGTGTTAGAGGACCTGCTATAGGCTAAGCAGAACACACATTATGCTGTGTGTGGGGGTTGGTTTTTCTGTCCCCACAAAGACAGTAAAACAAGGAACATTCTCTCTGGTGGGGACACTTCCCACGTCCCCATGAGGACAAAGGCTTAGGGGTTAGGTTTAGGGATACAATTAGGGTCAGGGTTAGAATTAGGGTTATGGTCAGGGTTAGAATTAGGGTTTGGAGTTAGGATTTTGAATGGAAATTAAAGTAGGATTTTGAAAATAAATCAATTTGAGGTCCTCACGAGGAGAGAACAAAAAGTGTGTGTGGGTTACCTAGGCGTGGGTCGTACTGTCTCATCTGGACCTCTTCAACACAGTCAGCAGGAAACCAGCCGGTCCGTCCTTTAACTGAGCCCTCCCAGAACCCTCCTTCTCCTATACTCAGCACTGTAACAATATCATATATTAATATAGGAACACAGTTGAAGTCGGAAGTTTACATACATCTTAGCCAAATACATTTAAACTCAGTTTTTCACAATTCCTGACATTTAATCCTAGTAAACATCCCCTGTCTTAGGTCAGTTAGGATCACCACTTTATTTTAAGAATGTGAAATGTCAGAATAATTATGAATTATTTCAGCTTTTATTTCTTTCATCATATTCCCAGTGGGTCAGAAGTTTACATACACTCAATCAGTATTTGGTAGCATTGCCTTTAAATTATTTAACTTGGGTCAAACGTTTTGTGTAGCCTTCCACAAGCTTCCCACAATAAGTTGGGTGAATTTTGGCCCATTCCTCCTGACAGAGCTGGTGTAACTGAATCAGGTTTGTAGGCCTCCTTGCTCGCACACGCTTTTTCAGTTCTGCCCACAAATTTTCTGTAGGATTGAGGTCAGGGCTTTGTGATGGCCACTCCAATACGTTGACTTTGTTGACCATAAGCCATTTTGCCACAACTTTGGAAGTATGCTTGGGGTCATTGTCCATTTGGAAGACCCATTTGTGACCAAACTTTAACTTCCTGACTGATGTCTTGAAATGTTGCTTCAATATATCCACATAATTTTCCTTCCTCATGATGGCATCTATTTTGTGAAGTGCACCAGTCCCTCCTGCAGCAAAGCACCCCCACAGCATGATGCTGCCACCCCCGTGCTTCACGGTTGGGATGGTGTTCTTCGGCTTGCAAGCAGCCCCCTTTTTCCTCCAAACATAACGATGGTCATTATGGGCAAACTATTTTTGTTTCATCAGACCAGAGAATCTTGTTTCTCATGGTCTGAGTCCATTAGGTGCCTTTTGGCAAACTCCAAACGGGCTGTCATGTGCCTTTTACTGAGGAGTGGCTTCCGTCTGGCCACTCTACCATAAAGGCCGGATTGGTGGAGTGCTGCAGAGATGGTTGTCCTTCTGGAACGTTCTCCCATCTCCACAAAGGAACTGGAGGTCGGTTCTTGGTCACCTTGACAGAGCTCCAGAGTTCCTCTGTGGAGATGGGAGAACCTTCCAGGACAACCATCTCCCCCAATTGCTCAGTTTGACCGGACGGCCAGCTCTAGGAAGAGTCTTGGTGGTTCCAAACTTCTTCCATTTAAGAATGATGGAGGCCACTGTGTTCTTCGGGATCTTCAATGCTGAAGAAATGTTTTGGTACCCTTCCTCAGATCTGTGCCTCGACACAATCCTGTCTCGGAGTTCTACGGACAATTCCTTCGACATCATGGCTTGGTTTTTGCTCTGACACGCACTGTCAACTGTGGGACCTTACATAGACAGGTGTGTGCCTTTCCAAATCAGGTCCAATCAATTGAATTTACGACAGGTGGACTCCAATCAAGTTGTAGAAACAGCTCAAGGTTGATCAATGGAACAGGATGCACATGAGCTCAATTTTTTGTCTCATAGTAAAGGGTCTGAATACTTATGTAAATAAGGTATTTCTGTTTTTAATTTTTTATAAATGTGCAACTTTTTCCAAAAACCTGTTTTTGCTTTGTAATTATGGGGCATTGTGTGTATATTGATGATTGAAAAAAATGATTTCATCCATTTTAGAATAAGGCTGTAACGTAAATAAATGTGTACAGTCAAAGGGTCTGAATACTTTCCGAATGCACTGTATATACATAATACATAACAATATACTAACTTAGCATTGTACCAATACAACATATTAATATAGGAATATATACATAACAATATACTAACTTAGCATTGTACCAATACAACATATTGATATAGGAATATATACATAATACTATACTATACTAACTATAGCAACCCCCCCTTCTCCTATAATCAGCACTGAACAATATAACATATTCATATATTAATATAGGAATGTTGGTTCCCCTAACCCTGTCTTTTGGTCCCTGTTGTTGGCCCTTTAACCCCTTTGTTGGTTCCCTTAACCCTGTCTTTTGTTCCAAAACCCCGTCTTTTGGTTTCCCTTTAAACCCTTTTTTGGTTCCTCAAAACCCTGTCTTTTGGGTTCCCTTAAACCCCGTCTGTGGTTTCCCTCTGCGCCCTCAACCCTGTTTGGGGTTTTCCTCAAACCCTTTTTGGGTTTTTTCCTCTAACCCGTTTTTGGGTTTCCTCAAACCTGTTGGGGTTTTCCCTATTTTTGGGTTCCCAACCCTGCTTTGGTTCCCTTCTTTTGGGTTTCCTGTTGTTGGTCCTTAACCCTTCTTGGGTTCCTCAACCCTGTTTTGGTTCCTGTCTTTGGTTCCTTTAACCCTGTCTGTTGGTTCCCTGTCTTTTGGTTCCTCAACCTGTCTGTTGGTTCCTTAACCCTGTCGTTTTTCCCTGTCTGTTGGTTCCACAAAACCTGTCTGTTGGTTCCCTGTCTGTGGTTTCCCTTACCCGTCTGTTGGTTCCAAAACCCCGTCTTTTGGTTTTCCTTAACCCTGTCTGTGGTTCCTCTAACCCCGGGTTTTGGGTTCCCTCTAAAAAACCCTTTTTTGGTTTCCCTCTAACCCTTTTGTTGGTTCTCCCCCCTGTCTTTTGGTTCCTCAAACCCCGTCTGTGGTTCCCGCTTTTGGTTCCTCAACCTGTCTGTTGGTTCCCTTTTTTGGGTTTCCCAACCCCGTCTGCGGGTTCCCTTTAAAACCCTGTCGGGGGTTTCCCCTGTCGTTGGTTCCTCAAAACCCTGTCGGGGTTTTCCCTGTCGTTTTCCCTCTAACCCTGTGTTGGTTCCTTAAACCTGTCTTTTGGTTCCCCTAACCCTGTCGTGGTTCCCGTCTTTTGGGTTTCCTCAACCCGCTTTTTGGTTCCCAAACCCGTATTTTGGTTTCCTTAACCCTGTTGGGGTTTCCTCTAACCTGTCGTTGGTTTCCCTTTAAACCCTGTCTGTTTGGTTCCTCCCCTGTCCGGGTTTTCCCTTTTGTTGGTTCCTCAAAACCCTGTCTGTTGGTTCCTCAAACCCGTTTTGGTTTCCTTAACCTGTTTTTTGGTTCCCTGTCTCTGGTTCCTCTACCCGTTTTTTGGTTTCCTCAAAACCCTGTCTTTTGGGTTCCTTAAAACCCCTGTCTTTTGGGTTTTCCTCAACCCTGTTGGGGTTCCCTGTCTTTTGGTTCCTAACCCTGTCTTTTTGGTTTCCCTTTCAACCCGTTTGTTGGGTTTCCTAAAAACCCTGTTGTGGTTCCTGTCGTTGTTCCTCAACCCTGTTTTTTGGTTTCCCTTCCCCCCCTGTTGTTGGTCCCTGTGTTGGTTCCTTAACCTTCTTTGGGTTTCCTGTTGTTGGTTTCCTTAACCCTGTCGCTGGTTCCTTAACCCTGTTGGGTTCCTCAACCCCTGTCTGGGGGTTTCCCTGCTTTTGGTTTTCCCTTTTTGTGGTTCCTCTAACCCGTCTGCGGGTTCCTTCGTTGGTTTTCTCAAAACCTGTCTTTTGGTTCTCTAACCCTTTCTGTGGTTCCTCAAACCCCGTTTTTGGTTCCCTCAAACCCCTGCTTTTTGGTTTCCCCCTTTTTTTTGGGTTCCTTAACCCTGTCTGTTGGCCCCTGTTTTTGGTTCCCTTTAAACCCTTTTTGGTTCCTTAACCCGTCTGTTGGTTCCCTGTTTTTGGTTTCCCAAACCCTGTCTGGGGTTTTCCTCAAACCCTGTTGTGGTTTCCCCCTAACCCTGTCTGTTGGTTCTCAACCGTCTGTTGGTTCCCTGTTGGGTTCCTCTAACCCGTCGGGTTCCCTAACCCGTTTTTTCCCCCTAACCCTGTTTTTGGTTCCCTGTCTTTTGGGGTTCCTCAAAACCCTGTTGCGGGTTTTCCTCAACCCTGTCTTTTGGCCCCGTTGTTGGTTCCTCAACCCCTGTCTTTTGGGTTTCCTCTAACCCTGTTGTTGGTTTCCCCCAACCCCGTTGTTGGTTTCCAGTTGTTGTTTCCTAAACCCTGTCTTTTGGTTTCCCCCAACCCCGGTTGTTTTTTCCCTGTCTTTTGGTTCCTCAAACCCCTTTTGCGGTTCCGTTTTGGGGCCTTAAACCCGCTGTTTTTTTTCCCTGTCTGTTGGTTCCTCAAACCCCGTTGTTGGTTCTTAACCCCGTCTTTTGGTTCCCCCTAACCCTTTGTTTTTCCCCTGTCTGGGGTTCCTCAACCCTGTTTTTTCCCCCCGTCTGTTTTTTCCTCTAACCCTGCTTTTGGTTTCCCCTTTTGTTTTTTTCAATACCCGTTTTTTTTGGTTCCTCAACCCTGTTGTTGGTTCCCAAAACCCTGTTGTTGGTTTCCCTCTAACCCGTCTGTTGGCCCCTGTTGTTGGCCTCTAACCCTTTTGTTGGTTCCTCAACCCTGTCTGTTGGTTCCCAAAACCCGTTTTTGGTTTTCCCGTCGTTGGTTCCTCTAACCCGTTGCGGGTTCCCTCTAACCCGTTCCGGGTTCTCTAACCTGCTTTTGGGTTCCCTCTAACCTGCTTTGGTTCCCTGTCTGTTGGTTCCTTAACCCTGTTTGGGTTCCTCAAACCCCTTTTGTTGGTTCCTCAAACCCCGTCTGTTGGCCCCTTCTTTTGGTTCCTCTAACCCTGTCTGTTGGTTCCCTTAAAACCCTGTTGTTGGTTCCCCTAACCCGTCTTTTGGTTCCCTGCTTTTTGTTCTCAAAAACCCCTGTCTGTGGTTCCCCAAACCCTTTTATTTGGCCCTTAAAACCCGTCTGTTTTCCCTGTCTTTTGGGTTTCCCTCAAACCCTGTTTTGGGTTTTTTTTAACCCGTTTTTGGGTTCCTGTTGTTGGGTTTCCTCTAACCTGTTTTTGGGTTTCTAACCCTGCTGCGGGTTCCTTTAAACCCCTGTCTTTGGGTTCCCGTCTTTTTGGTTCCTTTAACCCGTTTTTGGGTTCCTCAACCCTGTTGTGGTTCCTAACCCCGTCTGTTGGTTCCCTGTCGTTTTTTCCTCTAACCCTGTTGTTGGGTCCCCAACCCCCTTGGGTTGGTCCCAAACCCTGTCTTTTGGTCCCTGTTGTGGTTTCCCTCAAACCCCGTCTTTTGGGTTTTCCTCTAACCGTCTGTTGGCCCCCCGTCTTTTGGTTCCCTCAACCCTGTCTTTGGGTTCCTCTAACCCTGTTGTGGTTCCTCAAAACCGTTTTTGGTTTTTTCCCTTTTGTTTTCCCTTAACCGTCCTTTTCCCTCTAACCCCTGTCGCTGGCCTCAAACCCCGTCTTTTTGGTTTCCCCCTTCGTTGGGTTTCCTCTCCCCCTGTCTTTTGGGTTTTCCTCTCCCCTGTTTTTGTTCCTCTAACCCCCTGTTGCTGGTTCCTCTAACCCTGTCTGTTGGTTTTCCCTGTCTGTTGGTTCCCCTGTTGCGGTTCCTTAACCTGTCTGTTGGTTCCTCAACCCCTTTTGTTTGGCTCCTCAAAACCCTGTTTTTGGGTTTCCCCTCAAACCCCGTTGCTGGTTCCTCAAAACCCTGTCTGCGGTTTTTAAACCTTTGTTGGTTCCCCTGTTTTTGGTTTCCTCAACCCCTTTTTTGGGTTCCTTAACCCTGCTTTTGGGTCCTTAACCCTTCGTTGGTTTCCCTTTAACCCCTGCTTTTGGGTTTCCCCTCAAACCCGTATGTTGGGCCCTTTAAAACCCTGTTGTGGTTCCCTTAACCCTGTCTGCGGTTCTCTAACCCGGTCGTGGTTCCGCGTGGTTCCCTTAAACCCCTGTTGCTTTTTCCCAAAACCCCTGTCTGTTGGGTTTCCCCTGTTGTTGGGTTCCTCTCCCCCGTCGTTGGTCCTCTAACCCTGTCTGTTGGTTCCCTCTCCCCGTTGGGGTTCCCTACCCTGTCTTTTGGGTTTCCCCTGTTGTTGGTTTCCCCCGGTCTTTTGGTTTCCTCTAACCCGTTTTGTTCCTCTAAATTCTTTTGGGTTTCCTTTAACCCCTTCTGTTGGTTTTTAACCCCTGTCTGCGGTTCCCCTCCCCTGTCTGTGGTTCCTCAACCCTGTTTTGGTTTCCTCAAACCCCGTCTGTGGTTCCCTGTTTTTGGTTTCCCCTGTGTTGGTTCCCAAACCCCGTCTGTTTTTTCTCTAACCTGTTGTTGGTTTCCCTCTAACCCGCGGGTTCCTCAACCCTGTCTGTTGGTTCCTCAACCCTGTTTTTGGGTCCTCAAACCTGTCGTTGGGTTCCCTAACCTGTCTTTTGGGTTCCTCCCCCCTGTCTGTTGGTCCTCAAAACCTGTCGGGGTTCCTAACCCCTGTTGGTTCCTCAAAACCGTTTTTGGTTCCTCAAACCCGGTTGCTGGGTTCCCTGTTTTGTTCCCCTGTTTTTGGGGTTCCTTAACCCCTGCGTTGGTTCCTCTAACCCGTCTGTGGTTCCTCAACCCCTGTTGTGGTCCCTTAACCTGTTTTTGGGTTTCTAACCCTGTTGTTGGTTCCTCTCCCTGTTGTTGGTTTCCAAACCCCTGTCTTTTGGGTTCCCTTAAACCTTTTGTTGGTTCCCTCTAACCCTGTCTTTTGGGTTTTCCTCAACCCGTCTTTTTCCTTTAAACCCGTTGCGGGTTTTCCTCAACCCTGTCTGTTGGTTCCTTAACCCGGTTGTTGGGTTCCTCTAACCCTGTCTGTTGGCCTTAACCCTGTCTTGGTTTTCTAACCTGTTGTTGGTTTCCTCTAACCCTGTCGCGGTTTCCCGTCTTTTGGGTTTCCCTCAAACCCTTCGGGTTCCCTCAACCCTGTCTTTTGGGTTCCCTTCTTTTTGTTCCTCAAACCCCTGTCTGTTTTTCCTCTAATGCTGTTGGTTCCTCTAACCGGTCTTTGGCCCCTGTTTTTGGGTTTCCCCTTAACCCGTTCTGTTGGTTCCTCTAACCCTGCTTTTGGTTCCTCAACCCTTCTTTGGTTCCTTAACCCTGTCTGGGGTTTCCCGTTGGGGTTTCCCTCAACCCTTTTGTTGGTTTCTAACCCTGTTGTTTTTTTCCCCCCCTGTCTTTGGTTCCTCAAACCCGTCTTTTGGTTCCCTGTCTGTTGGTTCCTCTAACCCTGTCTTTTGGTTTCCCTTTAAACCCTGTCTTTTGGGTTCCTCAAACCCGTCTTTTGGTTCCTTAACCTTTTTTGGGTTCCTAACCCTGCTTTTGGGTTCCTCTCCCCTGCTGTTGGTTCCTCTAACCCTGTTGTTGGGTTTCCCCTGTCTTTTGGGTTCCCCCTTCCCCCTGTTGTGGTTCCCAACCCTGTTTTTGGTTTCCCCCCAAACCCCTGTCTGTTGGTTCCTCAAACCCGTCGTTGTTCCCTAACCCCTTTTTTGGGTTTCCCTCAAACCCGTCTGTTGGTTCCTCAAAAACCTTTTGTTTTCCCCTTTTTCTGTGGTTCCCTAACCCTGGTTGGTTCCTTAACCCTGTCGTTGGTTCCTTAACCCCAGTCTGGGGTTCCCTTGTTTTTTCCCCTGTTTGGGGTTTCCCTCTAACCGTCTTTTGGTTCTCTAACCCTTCTTTTGGGTTCCTCAAACCCCGTCTTTTGGTTTCCCTTAAACCCTGTTTTTGGGTTTCCTCTAACCTGTTGTTGGTTCCTCTAACCCTGTCTGGGTTCCCTGTCTTTTGGTTTTTAAACCCTGTTGTTTTTCCCTTTAACCGTCTTTGGTTCCTCAAACCCCGTCTTTTGGTTTCCTCAAACCCGTCTGTGGTTCCTCAACCCCTTTTTTTGGTTCCTTAACCCGTTGTTGGTTCCTCTAACCCGTCTTTTGGTTCCCAAAACCCTGTCTTTTGGGTTTTCCCTGTCTGGGGTTTCCTTTAAAGTATTGGCCGTGGGGGAAGACATGAGGGAGAGAGAGGAGGAGGTTCCCTTTGACTCTCTCCCCCGATGCAGGCATCTCTCCGGTCCCGCGGTTTGGGTGAGGGTGTTGCATGAACGTTTCCCCGGCACGGCGCTTAAGCCTAAGTTTCCCCCACGCGGCCGGGGTGGGGGGAGATGGGGGGGACTGGGGTCCCTCTGTACCCTGCCCGGGCTATACAAAAACCCCCCAAAGGATCCCAACATGCAAACAGACATACACAACAAACAAGACACAGGAGGTGGTTTTCTTTGTTGTCTGCTTTTGTCTGTCGTTGTCGTTGGGGTTGTTATCTGCAGTCTGTGTCTGTTGTCGTCTGTGTTTTTTTCTTTTCGTCTGGCTTGTGTGTTGTCTGTGGGTGTGTCTACTATTTTTTTTCTGTTACTTTTGGTGGGCTGTTGTCGTCCTGTCTGTACCTGAGGCGCCGTGTCTGTCTGCAAAGGCTGTGTGTGTCTGTCTGTCTGTCTGTCTGGCTCTGTCTGTCTGTCTGTCTGTGGGTGTGTCTATCTGTCTGTCTGTCTGTCTGTCTGTCTGTCTGTACCTGAGGCGCCGTGTCTGTCTGCGAAGGCTGTGTGTGTCTGTCCGTCTGTCCGTCTGCCGGTTGGAAGTTTGCGTGTTCTCCAGGCTGTGGAGGGAGGGGCCAGGGGAAGAAGAGGCGGGGCTTTCAAGAGCGTTGTCGCTGGCTGAGCGAATCAGATAACGGGGAGATGACAAGCCACACCCACCAACATTACTGGCCCCACCCAGACGTCGGCGCTTTGAGGAATAGGAAGGGCTCTCTCTGAAAGGCACTGAGACACAGAGAAACAAGGTTACACACATCGACATGGTCAAACACACACAGACACTAACACACAGGGTCGTGGATGGACTCACCTACGTCTGAGGCCTTATGGATCTTAATGATCTCTGCCAGGTCAAAATTCCCAGCAATGATGGCCACCTACACATACACACACACTTGACATGTCTATTTGGAACCACAGTGAAGCATTGTCAGAAAAAAGCATTCAAACTATACCACGTCACACTGCATTCTGTGTTGTAGTTCATTACCTGAAAAGCTGTCTGGTTGTTGTAGTTCTTAATGTCTTTATTCGCTCCTCTGAACAGCAGAACTCTGGCACAGCCGTCCTGAGAAAGGAAACATCACAGTCAGTCACACATAGCAACCCTGCTTACCTGGTTGTATAGACCACAGGTGTAGTGTTACCTGGTTGTATAGAACACACAGGTGTAGTGTTACCTGGTTGTATAGACCACAGGTGTAGTGTTACCTGGTTGTATAGAACACAGGTGTAGTGTTACTGGTTGTATAGACCACAGGTGTAGTGTTACCTGGTTGTATAGACCACAGGTTAGTGTACCGGGTTTGTATAGCCCCACAGGTGTAGTGTTACCGGGTTTGGTATAGACCACAGGTGTAGTGTTCCCTGGTTGTATAGACCACAGGTGTAGTGTACCTGGTTGTATGACCACAGGTGTAGTGTTACCTGGTTGTATAGACCACAGGTGTGTAGTGTTACCTGGTTGTATAGACCACGGTGTAGTGTACCTGGTTGTATAAAACCACAGGTGTGTGTTTACTGGTTGTATAGACCACGGGTGTAGTGTTACCTGGTTGGTATAGACCACAGGTGTAGTGTTACCTGGTTGTATAGACCACAGGTGTAGTGTTACCTGGTTGTATAGACCACAGGTGTAGTGTTACCTGGTTGTATAGACCACGGTGTAGTGTTACCTGGTTGTATAGACCACAGGTGTGTGTTACCGGGTTTTGTATAGACCACACGGGTTTGCAGTGTTCCCTGGTGTATAGACCACAGGTGTAGTTTTCCCTGGTTGTATAGACCACAGGTGTAGTGTACCGGGTTTGGGTATAGACCACACGGGTTTGTGTGTTACCTGGTTGTATAGAACACAGGTGTAGTGTTACCGGGTTTGTATAGACCACAGGTGTAGTGTTACCGGGTTTGGTATAGACCACAGGTGTAGTGTTACCTGGTTGTAAGCCCAAACGGGTTTGTGTGTTACCTGGTTGTAAGACCACACAGGTTAGTGTTACCTGGTTGTATAGACCACAGGTGTAGGTTACCTGGTTGTATAGACCACAGGTTAGTGTTACCTGGTTGTATAGACCACAGGTGTATTTGTTACCTGGTTGTATAGAAACACAGGTGTAGTGTTCCCTGGTGTTATAGACCACAGGTGTAGTGTTACCTGGTTGTATAGACCACGGGTTGTAGTGTTACCTGGTTGTATAGACCACAGGGTGTAGTGTTACCTGGTTGTATAGACCACAGGTGTAGTGTTAACCTGGTTGTATAGAACACACAGGTGTAGTGTTACCTGGTTGTATAGACCACAGGTGTTAGTGTTACCTGGTTGTATAGACCACAGGTGTAGTGTTACCTGGTTGTATAGACCACAGGTGTTAGTGTTACTGGTTGTATAGACCACAGGTGTAGTGTTACCTGGTTGTTAAAGGGGGGGGGACCACAGGTGTAGTGTTACCTGGTTGTATAGACCACAGGTGTAGTGTTACCTGGTTGTATAGACCACAGGTGTAGTGTTACCTGGTTGTATAGACCACACAGGTGCAGGGCAGTGTTTCCTGAGGCATTCTGGGAGCTCATGTCGGCTCCGTAAAACAGCAGATGTTCCAGGTGCTGCACGTTCCCATGACGACATGCCTGGAAAGAAACAACACGTCACATGCATGTTACCATGACGAAACGCCTGGAGAGAAATAACATGTCACATAGATGTTACCATGACAACATGCCTAGACAGAAACAACACGTCACATAGATGTTCCTATTTTCCCTTTTTTTGTAGACAACAGGTTGAGAAAGCCTATTGATTAAATTGATACTTCTGGAATTTGGCAATGAGGTCTTTTACGTAATTCCCCAGAGTCAGATGAACTTACCATTTTTATGTCTCTGCGTGAGGTTTGTAATATGTCACTTTTTGGGTGACCCGACCAAATTCATATAGAAATATGAGTTATAGATCTGTCATTAATTTACTTTCGGTTTGTACACCAGCTTCAAACAGGTGAAAATACAATATTTTTGAAGGGATATTTCACTGCAATTTAGATAGTACATTGATTCTCTACACCAGTGGTCACCAACAGGTTAATCGCGATCGACTGGTCGATCTCCAAGGCATTCCTAGTTTTATTTTTGTTTTTTCTTGCACTGTTGGCGGTAGGTTCACTTGATTCAGCAGCCCTAGCGTCGGTAAGGCAAAGTGGCCAATCAGATAGCTCAGATTTCCTCGAGCCATTGACTGTAAAAAGAAGCCTTAAGCGCACGGCAAAGATGATACTGTGAGATTTAAAAAGAGAGAGACTCAACGAATCCAGCAAAGAGCTGCTGTTTTTATGTGGAAGTTCATATTTAAGTTGTTATCCAGCACTATCAACACTTTGTTCAACACCTTTATAAGCCATAAAATGCGCATTCTCCCAACTTCCACACGCTAAAACCAGCACTGCAGCTGCAATGAATGAGTATAGCAAAGTGGTCCGATAAGCTTGTGTTGTTATTAGAGGCTTTTGTCTTTTTTCTACCCCCATTTCATGATATTACGATCTTGTCACATCGCTGCAACTCCCCAACGGGCTCGGGAGAGGCGAAGGTCGAGTCATGCGTCCTCCGAAACATGACCCGTTAACAACCGCCCGCTTAACCTGGAAGCCAGCCACACCAATGTGTCGGAGGAAACACCATCCAACTGACAACCGGAGTCAGCCTGCAGGCGCCCAACCCGCCACAAGGAGTCGCTAGAGCACGATGAGCCACTATAGCCTCTGGTTTGGGGTCGGGATTGATTAGGGAGGTCACAGCACCACTGAAGATGAAGACGCAGAAGGGTCATGAGGAGACTATACAGTTGTATTTAATTGACTCTCCTGCGTTTCCTGTGGTGTTGGGGCTTCCCTGGTTAACATCTCATGACCCCAACATTTCATGGCAACAGAGGGCTCTCAAGGGATGGTCTGATCAGTGTGTCGGGCGGTGTATAGGTGTTTCCGTAGGGGCGACAACGGTGGAAAGTCCGAACCAAATGCCCGCACTGCACATTCCTCCTGAGTATACAGATTTGGCACTCGCCTTCAGTAAGAAGAGGGCGACTCAATTACCACCTCATAGACAGGGGGATTGTGCGATAGACCTCCAGGGAGGCGCTGCACTCCCTCGTAGCCATGTGTATCCTCTGTCTCAGGAGGAGACGGCCGCTATGGAGACATACATCACCGAATCCTTGAGACAGGGATACATACGGCCGTCCACTTCCCCTGCGTCCTCGAGTTTCTTTTTGTGAAGAAGAAGGATGGGGGTTTACGCCCGTGTATTGATTACCGTGGTCTCAATCAGATCACTATTAAATACAGCTATCCTCTCCCTCTGATTGCTAGTATGACGGAGTCATTACACGGGGCGCGCTTCTTCACAAAATTGGATCTCAGGAGCGCTTACAACCTGGTGCGCATTCGGGAAGGAGATGAGTGGAAGACAGCATTCAGTACCACCACGGGTCACTATGAGTACCTCGTCATGCCATACGGTCTAATGAATGCTCCTTCAGTCTTCCAATCATTTGTGGACGAGATTTTCCGGGATTTGCATGGACGGGGGGGTAGTGGTGTATATTGATGACATCCTGATATACTCCGCTACACGTACCGAGCATGTGTCCCTGGTACGTCGGGTGCTGGGTAGACTGTTGGAGCATTACCTGTATGTGAAGGCAGAGAAATGTCTGTTTTTTCCAGGAGTCCACTCCTTCCTGGGACACCGGTTTGTCTGCGTCAGGGTGGAGATGGAGGTTGACCGCGTTTCAGCCGTGCGTAATTGGCAGACTCCCACTACGGTAAAGGAGGTGCAGCGTTTTTTGGGTTTTGCCAATTACTACCGGAGGTTTATCCGGGGTTTTGGACAGGTAGCAGCTCCCATTACCTCCCTGCTAAAGGGGGGCCCCGGTGCGTTTGCAGTGGTCGGCTGAGGCGGACAGGGCGTTTAGTCATTTGAAGGACCTGTTCACCTCGGCTCCGGTGCTGGCACATCCGGATCCCTCTTTGGCGTTCCAAGTGGGAGGTGGATGCGTCCGAGGCGGGGATCGGTGCTATACTGTCCTCAGCGCTCGGGCACGCCTCCAAAACTCCCGCCCCTGTGCTTTCTATTCCAAGAAGCTCAGTCCGGCGGAACGCAATTATGACGTGGGGGACAGGGAGCTGCTAGCGGTGGTCCACGCCCTGAAGGTGTGGAGACATTGGCTTGAGGGGGGCTAACCACCCTTTTCTCATTCTGACTGACCATCGTGACCTGGAGTACATCCGGGCAGCGAGGAGACTGAACCCTCGTCAGGCTAGGTGGGCCATGTTTTCTTGCCCGGTTTGTCTTTAAGATCACATACATCCCAGGGTCACAGAACGTTAAGGCAGACGCCCGGTCCCGACGATATGACACAGAGGAGAGGTCCATTGAGCCTACTCCCCATACTGCCGGAGTCTTGTCTAGTGGCACCGGTGGTGGTGGGAGGTCGACACGGAAATCGAGCGGGCGTTACGTACCGACCCTACTCCCCCAGAGTGTCCAGAGGGACGGAGGTACGTGCCGCTCGAGGTCCGTGACCGACTGATTTATTGGGCTCACACGTCACCCTCCTCTGGTCATCCTGGTATTGGTCAGACGGTGCACTGTCTTAGCGGGAAGTACTGGTGGGCCCACCTTAGCCA